TATATGCAAAGTGACAGAAGGATGCAGCCTCACTACCTACTAATAACTAGCATGAAAGACCCGGGTATTCAGGTGTTAGGGTCAGGAACTGTTGTGAACTTGAACCTTGGTACCGAGTACACACACACACACACACACACACACACACACACATAATGAGAATGCACATTAGTTCAATTTATAAACTGCATCAATCTGCGGCATACAGGGTGCAAAAGAGTGATTTGCGCTGGGATTTTGCCGTGATTAGCCCTAAATGAGCCTGAGCACGCATGACATCGCATCTCATCCTACCAAAGCTTACTTGGCTGTCTAATCCGAACGCCACTGAACCAGCACAATACTGTAATGGGTTGTCTAGATCGATCCCGTATCCACACCCGAGCCGTGGACAGCAAGATCTAAGGGACGATGGACCTCATTCCAGTGATTGGCCTAACCGGATAGACCCGTTCTGATGGATCCGATTGAAACCAAAAATACTCCGTATACATCGAACCCACTCTCCGCACGATTTCTTTCTCTCTCCCTCTTTTTTTTCTATGAACGTTCCAGAATAAAGTTTCCATTTCCATTCAAGTTCCTTTTTGACTTCATACTTCTTCTCCCTGGTTCCTACCCTCCTCTCTCTCCCTTCTCTTCCCTTTTCGGCAGTCTCTTGTGCCTTTTCTCACCATGTATGTTTACGCTTCTTCTTCGTTTGCCTGATAAGTTCCCCTCAATGGGTTCTTGATTACCCACACCATCACCATCACCATCCCATCTGTTCCCCCTTGCCGAGGTTCATGAAGTTACCTGCCTCGATTGTTCTCGCCTGATGTCAATCAACAAGCCCCAATCTGGTCGAGGACTTGGAGCGTTCAGAGATCTGTTCCGCTCTGCTCCCCCGCCCGTCCCTACTACCCCTGCCTCCCGTCGCCGCGTGTCCGTCCTGGTCCGTCGAGGTAGGGATCTTTTCTCGAACAAGTAACATTCCCCAACTCCCCCGTCATTCTTTTACCCATTCTTCCTTTTCTCGCGTGGGATCGTGTGTGGACGGCCTGGGGCGGAGGCGAAATCTAACCCCGCCGAGATCCCCAACGAGGCGCAGCCATCCTCATCTTCATCTTTCTCAATTACCGCAACCAAGAAGCACCACAAGACAAGAAAAAAAAGGAGAGATTCACCAGGCTAAGACTAGTACCGCAACAGCAGACATCCTGTAGACCCTCCCAAGAGTCCATCACCTTCCCGCATGAACTCTCAACCGCAGTTCGACCCGGCCACGATGATCGGCCTGGCCGGCGCCTCGCCCGGTCAAACGGAGGACAATTTCGACATTTTCGAATGGTATCCGCGCTACCAGAGTTGCCAGCGCTACTTCCTAGATCATGCTCAGCACAGCGTGCCCGTCCAGGCCTTATCCACCTTCTTGAACATTCGCCTACCCTTCCAGCGACAACCCAACCCGGTCCTCAATTCGAACCCAGTCTCCGCTTCATCATCATCTTCAGCAGGTGTCTCATCCCCGGTCCACCGGCAGTCTCATTGATTCCGTATATACGCCGCCTGGTTGCGACTGGCATGGATTTCCCAGGTGTCCTGCACGGATTCTTCGGCGACGATTGGGGCAGCGGCATCGGCCCGCTACATGAGCAAGAACGTCGCAATTATCTCTTCGCTGCAAAGAGTGGTGGTTGGGCTTCCGTCAAAAAAGACTACGACATGTCACCATTAGAGACGATCCCGTTTCTGCGCCCGCTGCAAGGACCCCTCGATACAGAGATCGAAGCCGCCGAACGCAGTTGGAGTGAATGGCTTGCGATGGAGGACTGGATGGTTGGACCGCGTGCTCCAGATATTCTACAAGATTCCTCGTCTCAGAACTCACGACCGCGAAGTGCACGCGGCTAAACTTCGGCCTTACTCCCTCCGATCGATCCATCACATCACCTTTCTCTTCTATAACATGTGTTTCTGAATATCTCTTTTCCGGGACATCAAGCATATCAGGTCGGCTACTTGGTGTCAATTGAGTCCTCCAACCCCTCTCTTTGGTCCTGTCTAGCGATCGTGTCTTTTTTATCATTTTAATTTGCAGCGTCTTGGGATACAGCATTACCCCAGATTACTCTCACATTGGATGGGAAGGCAAACCCCCTCTCTAGGGCTCCTTGGGCATATAATTAGGGCCTAATTGCGGCCAGTTATTAAACTTTAAAAAACTAGATGCCAATGCATTACGCATCTATATATTCGAAATAAATTCAAATTACTTGAACAGAGCGACCTACTGCAAGCCATACACAGACAATCTAATCAACGTCCAGTCTTGTTTTGGGGCTTGACCCTATGGTGAAATCCCGAAACCAAAAATACGATTTGTAAACTCGTCTCCACACCACCGGATAATGATGCCAGGGGAGAAAAAAAACGCGCGGGAAGATTCTCACTTGGAGAAGAGAAAAAGGCGATAAATCCGAACAAACGTCATTTCGGCCGGGAAGGCGGAAGTGGATGCTGCGAGGAGAATAAATCGGGGGGTACGAAGATCACTGCCGCTGCCAGCAAACGGACTGTGCCTGAAAGCGGTTCCTAGCGAATCTCCTTGTCAAAGGGAAGCGTTAAGGGAGTCCACTGGGACCACAAAAATCGCAAAGGGGGTCTGAAAGAGAGGGGGGTAAATCGTTGAACCATCATTGAGTTTTTCTTTTTTCTTTTTTCTTTTTTACACCGAACCCCACCAGTTTGCGACTTACCGTGGTGGACTCCACAGATCCAATCGGCGCTGAGGCCATGGCTCGTTCCTTTTGAATCCATGGATAACAATGGAGCTACAGGAGTTCGGTCCTCGTTTGCGCCGTTTTGCCTCAGCGCGCCAGTTTCCAATCGACAGAGAAGAGGGAAAGGGGGAGGGTACTGGTGGATAGCGTCTCGATATCCGGATATAGGTGCGTGCAGCCAGTTGTGGAGTAGTTCCCAGCCTTGTATTCCAAGGTTGTTCTCTCATAGTAAATATACTCGTAGTATAGTCCGGAGTACGAGTATAGTTATGTACATCCAGCTTTGGAAGCCCTGAAGTATAGCAAAGACCCGCCATCGTTAGAGGAATCGGAGATTAATTACGACTGCAGCACGTGCGCAAGTGTAATCCTGCAAGAATCCAGAAATTGTGTACCAGTACGAGTACGAAAAAAGAACAAGAACTTAGTTATCCAAAGCTGACGCTAAACTTGTCGATGCTCAAATGGATTCACGCCGTGCGGGCGCAAACTTTGGCCATTTTCTCCCATGACAAGTTGGGATGGGTGTCCGTGCCGTCTTTGTCCAGACACTGTTCACCTGTTCATAATTCTTTGGTAGAGCAAGGAAGGTAGCTTGTGGCGTGGCTGAGAAGGGGGCCTAGCTCGTCTTAGTCTCTGCCGCTAACGGTTACTGCGGAGTTTCTCCCCTGAACCCCAATGCCCATTGGTGTCCAGGCTTCAAAAATTCTCCGAGATCATCCTTGGCTAGGTTTACGACCATACGATGACCGAAAGACTGCGTAAGGCGAACTTGATTCGCCGATCTTTGGCTGCCTTCCACGCTTAAAGATCGACCGTCAACCCCTGTCCATCATGATCGCCCCCCCCAAAGGCGAACCCGACATCTTTCCGCCTTTTCTCGTATTCGGCCTCGATCGGGGGATCGGGGTAGATCGCTGGAAAACTATATTATATGTGACTGGAAAGCATATCTAGTTGGCACTCAGTACTCCGTATAAAGCAGGCGTGTACCGATTCAATGGGGGGGTTGAGTACTACGAGTACCACCGCCATCATTTAAAACCAAATCGCGGCTCATGTACCGTAGTTCGGCACAACTGGAAACTTGTGAAAGTGTACATCGGTGGACCCGGCCACGAGCGTACAATGCGTACCCAAACTGTCGGGATCGGGATTTGGGAGTGCTTCACACGGAGAGAAAACTCGGACTAACTTCCAAGGTGAGCATCCTCGAATCCTAACTTGGCATCTGTGATTTTGTTCCTAGTGTGCTCTTTCGCATGCTTGAAGTACAGAGTAGTATACTACTAGTATACCTTGGGCCAAGCCCTGTGAGGTTACTATGCCTACTTGGAGTCATCCCGATTTTAGTCCTCCACAGATCGACTCCTTTTCAGTGGTACGCCGGTATCTGCCAGATATCGCCGGACATCTTTCCCGGAATCGAAATGTGGAGCCGAGATCCCTCTTGGAACGGTGATAAAAAAGTAAAGGCTGGGTCGCCTCCGTTATGTTCGTCAATCGTTCGTTTGCCATGGATGGTCCAAGAACTGCAGACTTGGCTCGGTAAATGAGCAGAGCCCTAAGTGGAGTGTTTATTTGGCTTGAACGAACTGTTTCAGGCGACGTGCATCTGAAGAGTCATACATAATTCATGACGTTGGTGGGGGTTGTTTCAGAGTCCAATCTTTGACGAGGGGTTCCATGGTTCTGAGGACGAGGGTCGGGATAGCCCGAGGCATGTAGTATGTGCTCGTTACTAGCTGTATTTTGATATCATTCCCAGCGAACAAGTGTTTGGCTACTTGTCCTGCTATTTGGGAGATCATCTTGGCGTACTGGTTTGAAGACGGTGTTAGAAGATGATGAATGGAAGCTCTGAAATCGCATGGGTATCTCAAAGCTCCTCATCCTCACTGCAACCCCGAATACTAAGGCACTGATTGTCTGTGCTTACTCCGGAGCAGTTCCCGCCAACCTCCGTCGAGTGCCGAGGACTTTTGAGCTCTTGTAATAGACCAGGGAGACTCCAACAAGACTCGTGACCAGCATGTTGACATATTTGAAAGGGCGACCCTGTTAACTGCCACGAAGTGCTATGTGATAGGCGACGCGGCTGTCTATTATCTGCACCCCCGTGTTTCATTGAGAGATTGTCTATTCTTTGCATTGAAGCTGCAGGGAGATCGTAACCAGCTGGCAATATATTGCATTGTGCTGGTACATCGCGTGCTCGTTTGCTGACAATGGCATCGCCTAAACCAGAACAGAAAAGGCAGTTGACTTCATCCAGTAGGGATGAGACCAGGCCAGACCGTCTTTCTCAAGCTTTCGGCCTTTGAGCTCTGACCTTGGAGAGTCCATTACAATATCCATGAACTCGTACCCATAAAATTCTGAACGTCGTGGCTTTTGCAAAGATGCCTTGGATAGGTTGATAGAGAAACCCATGATGAGCTCTCGAACCGAGAGAGAATCTCCGCCCGACTTCTCAAGTAATACCCCACCTTTCTCTTCAAGAATGTCCAGCGAGCTGATGAGATCATCCTCTGCGGTTATGGCTAGAGGTGGATATTCAGCTCGGAAATTTTCTTCACTTCTGTCGGCGTAGACCAGGAGCATATGACGTAGCACAGAGAGCAATTGAACTAACCATGCTCTCCTGGTTTCCACATCATACACCACAATTTGCTCCATAGCACTGCTTTTCAAGCATTTGAGATAGTTTCTGGAAGGACTGAATTGACAGTATTGACCGAACGATCAAATGAAAGCCCAACCTGCCCTCCTATCTGCAGCGGAGCAGCAGATTGGGCTAGTGCCTGGAGGTTCGCGCCTTTCCAGTTCCATGTAACAGGCTTCACCTTTGCGTCGGACCAAGAAACCTGGCGCTCTAGTCGATCAGTACCCAAGAGGATGTCTGCTCTGGAGCACCAACCCAGGAGTGGTCTTCTGGATTTTATATAGTCGAGACTTGTGGTTTGTAACCACTTTTGCTGCGTTGCTTTCAGTTCGGATACTTTGAGCTGAGAATCATGAGTGGAGGTCTCCAGATGCTATAGGATTGTCTCATCATCAATTTCGCGGATCGGGATGAGAGCCGTGGAGTAGCCCAAAAGAACAATGCCAGAGTCAACAAGAACAGGATATTTGACTGCCGACAATTGCAGCATCGCACCGAGATCTAGTTCCAGACCTCGACCCGGCTTGTGATATTGGACATCCGGCCCTGTGATGACTATCGCTTCTTCGAAAAGATCCTTCCAACACACATTGTCCCCAGGAGAGGTGGGAAGCTCTTCCAGAGAGTCGAGAAAAAAAGAATCAGCCGTGGGCTGATATTCCAGATTCGAGACACAAATCTTGCCAGGCGCAGGCTTTCCGACAGCACAGCGAATCAACTTGAAAATAGTCAACATTACTGAATCCGGATCATTGACCTCAATGGTAATACCGTTTCTGTCGACAAGAAGCATGATATTTCCGTCAACTAGGTAAAGGAATTAGTAAGCCATAATCAAAACGGCTGAAGAAAGAGACGACCAACAATAGATACTCTCCCCACTGGAAAGGACCCTCGCAAGGCTTTTAAATAAGTATGCTTTAGCAGACCTAAACGTGCGAAACAGAAAATTGCGAAGCGTTGTGAACTCCATTGTGACCTCCTTCCTGACCAACACACTCGATTCAAAAAGCCAGGAATCTAGATCAGAGCGACGCTTCGCGAGTGCTGGAAGCTCACAGACAATTCGTGATATGAATCTCTCGGGCGGAGAAGATGCGAGATCGAGCCGTTCTTCATAGCCTATGAATTTTGGCACAAGAGCCTCCATGAGCTGTGGCACATCAAGTGCCAGCTCACGCATCAACGGCGACCCTCCTCATCTTGTATGTAATCAAGGGAAGGATGTCTGGAATCACGAGACATAATTCAGATAATGGTATAAAGCAAGAGAAATGTTGTTCTGCTGCTCATTTGTAGGCTGGGTGAGTTGGCGTCGATCTTGATAAAAGTGGTTAGTGGATTCAGATGAGGTATTTCCCACCTGCATTGGTGCTCACCTGTTCGCCTGCATGTCATGCCCAGGTGAGCCATGACATGCGCAGAAGTTGCGAATTCAAGTTGAATTCCATACCCCGAAGGAAGACGAAAATGCTGCAGTTGGAATACATGGATAATTTAAAGTATGCTGGACACTGGCAGAAAAACCACCTTGGTAGGATGAGGTAACAGTGTAGCAGGAAGTACATATTTTCGACGAGTTTGTCAAGACGGAAGGGAGGGTGTCGTATGGACAATAGACAATATACATTCATTAAGACGAGATGTACAGTAGCTTTGAAGGTACCCAAAATCAAACCAACACCGGCGCTAAATGCGAACGAAGCCAAACCTCATTAGCTATCCGTAGTGTGCTCATGAGGCCGGAAGGCAGCAGTTTCCAGGAAAGCTAGCAAAAGAAAGACAAAAATGGAAGAAAAATGAAGAAGAAAAAAGGCAGGATGGGTATCTTTCATCAAGGCATATCAGAATAACTGGAAAAAAAATAATACTTCAAAGGGATTTTCGAGTATGGCAAAGTAAATGGGAACAGAAACGTTGACCGCCGAGGCCGATTATGTCAAGAATTTCGTCTGAGAGTTGAAGTTCGGTACTGGAGGGCCCCGTCCCGTGGCTCGTCCGGTTTCATCTGGGAAGAAAAGCTCGACTTTGAATCATGCACACCGGCCATAGCAGGGGATTGATGTGTTTCGCTTGGGAAGGGGAGATCAGGCAGATCATCTGGATCGGAAACTAGGCTGCGTCGCCTGGAGAGAACACCACCGAACGAAGGATTCTGTTTCTCTCGGTGCATTGTTGCTGGAGCACGACTGCGGCGTCGGCGGCGGCGCAGATACTCGTTCGGCACTGGGTCGACTTGCTTCTTAACGGCTGGGACGAAGTTGAGGTAAATGGGGAAGATGGCACCGGCGGCAAAGAGAGCAACAATCACACAGAAGGAGTACTGTGCGCCGTGGGTCAAATATGCAGCGTATTCTGCGAAAGGGAAAAAGGTTCCGCCACCAATAGCCATTGTTAAGAAGACAGCGGCTGTTTTGGTATGTTGGGCAGTGCCGCGAAGAGAGATGGCAAAGATGATGCTGAAAACGCCACTTTCGAAGAGATAGAGAAGCATAGCCATTGCTATGGCTGTGTTTCCGGTTGTATTCATACATAGCACGGCGCAAATGATCAAGCCGATGTAGGAGACCATGAGGATCCAGCGAGGTTTGAGGAACCATTGAGCGAAGGCGGCGAGGAAGCGACCGATAGCAAAGATGCTGTGACCAATCGTAAGGAACTCAAAGGCACCTAGAGCTGAGCTTTGGTTTGAGGCATCAGTAAAGCGTTCTAGGCTGGTTGCGAGCACTTCTTGACCGGCTACGTAAAAGAATTGAGACCAGATGCCTAGACCAAGGGTCAACCATACGACTGGAATGCCCACGACCTTCGTCATGTTGTCTTCTCGACGGCGGTTGGCCAGCTCTTCAAGGTCTTCGTCGGAAGCCTCAGGGATCGGAAGGTAGTAGAAGGCCACTGCAAGTAGGACGTCAAACAGGGCGATGCCAAGGTAAGTCCATTGAACATCGACGAGGGAAGCAACGTCATTCACACCCTTGAAAAGAACCTTCTTAGCCAAAAGTGGGGAAACGACACTGCCGACGGCCTGGACTCCCTGTGAAATATTGAGTCGGATCTCGGAGTTTTCAAGTGGACCGCAAAGAGCGATAAATGGGTTCGCAGCGGTTTCAAGCACAGCCAGGCCGAACCCCACGATGAAGTTCGAGACTGTAAAGGCGGCAGTAGATGTAAGAACGGCAGAGGGCCAGAAAATGAGAGTTCCACAAGCATAGATGCAAAGTCCGGTGATAAACGTGGATTTGAAACCCCAGATCTTCAAAACTGGCCGACCAACCAAGAGGGGGGCGATAACATAGCCTCCAAAGTACGCACCATGAAGGCCAAGCGAGTGCCAGGAATCTAGGTGGACGATGGTCTGAAACTGCGAGTTGAGCATGTCGAGCAAACCGTACGCGAAGCCCCACAGGAAGAAGAGAAGTGTGGTCAATGCAATTGGAGTGATGGATTCCTTGTTGTTCAACTTGAGCATGCTCTCCGGGTTCTTCATATTGACGAAATCGAAGAACGTGATAGTTGGTGGGTAGGATATACTGGTATGAGTGTTGGCTTCGGCATCTTGAGGACCGGTGCCTGGGTGACCCAGAAAGTCCAATAGTCCCATGGGCTCATCGGGGTCTTTCTGATGGGTCGCATTGTGGCTCTTCGTCTGAGATGGCTTGCTCGAGTTGCTATCAGCCGGTGACGTCGAAGGTGACGGTCCGCCGGAGCTTGGAATGGCAGCTGGCGGGGGCATGGCCACCGGGCTTTCCCCTGTCGCATAGTTGTTATTAGGGATAGTATATGGGTCATTGGTGTCTCTGATCAATTTGGGAACAAGGCGAGCGACAAGAGGTTTGAGACTTGGTACGCAGCCACACATGATGGAGACATTGACTTCGACGGCTGACCACATGAAGGAAAGCGACGCATACCCTGAGAGACCAAAGTCAGACGAGCGATAACATGGACGAGAGAGGAGGATCATAACTCACAGCTGAAATCCGAGCCGCCGGAGCTCTGAATGTGAATGGATGAAAGAGCCGCTTGTCGTGAGATCGCCGCTTGTTGAAGAAAAGCGATTCGGATCACATCAACCACCGCCACAAAGAAACCGAAGCTAAATGTTATAACCAGAATCGCCTTCTGCTTGAATGGTAGCCGCATCTGCGTCAACATTGGCATCGGTAGGAACAGGATAGCCAGGTCGGTGATGATGTTGACAGGAGATGAAGAGAGGTAGAGTGTGACGATATCGGTGCAAGTTGCGCCCGGGGAACCGAAGCTAATAGGGCAGCGGAGACGGGGCGACACTGGAAAACATTGATCATGGTCAACGCCAAACCGGCGCCATTGACCACGGCGAGAGTAACATAATTGGCCCATCGAAAGACCTTCTGATTGCGAGTCAAGGTTAGGTAGAAGACAAGAATTGAAGTCTTGACCGCCATGAGGGCTGGGTTCTAGAAAACAGAGTCAGCACATCGCCGTGGGTGGCATAGAAGGCAATTCTCCAATGAACTCACGTATAGGACGGTGAACGCATAATTGGCTTTGCTGAGGGCGCTTTCGTTTTCTTGGAGAATGTCACTGGAATGAAGACCGAGTCCGTTTTTTGTCGCGTAGAAAAGGGCGAAGCAGAAACCAAAGTCGATCACCTAGATAGTTGTTAGCTAGTCTTCACTGTGTGTCTCGTGCCATGTCAAATTTTTTTTTTCCACATGGACCAGTCCATCCGGCGCTGCACGCCCCGAGGGAGGTGCAGGGACCATCCCCGGCAGACGGCAGATTCCAACGTACCCATGCAAGCAACATTAGATAGTCGTGTAACGCGATTCTTCTGACAACGAAGATGCGCGAGACGAAGCGCAAGGCGACGAAGATACTGGCAATCACGAAGAAGGTGATTGAAACGGCCAGGGTGGTGGGTTGACGAGTTTGCATCTTGACAGGCGGCGCGCCAAGGGCGGCGCGAGGAACAGAGGGAGGATCCGATTAATCAAGGACTCGGACAATTCGAGGACCGCGATTAAAGCATAGTTTCGGACGGAGGCGTAGGGATTCGAGGAGGGATGGCCATGATCCCCCGAAGGAATCCAAATGAATCCGGGGTAAAACCGGGGGAAACAGGTAGTGACAGCGGAGATCGGGGGGTCCGAGGGGGGGGACCGGAGTCGGAATCGGTGAGAGCAGGCGATGATACGAGGGTACGAGAGTAGTTGAAGATACTGCAAAGAGGGGAAGCAGTGAGGGGAGGCGAGCTGAGGGCGAGCGTGAAGTTGAAGTTGAAGAGGGAATAAGTGGAAGAAGTGGAGGAAGTTGGATGTGTGGGAAAAAGATGCAATTTTCCCGCGATCGGAAGGCGCGTGGGGAAGGAAGGAACGTTCAAGTTTACCAGTTTGGCATTTCGCTAGTTCGTTCCTTCCTCGACTGCATTCGCATTCGCATTCGTACTTGCCATTTTTAACTTGAACCATTTTATGCATTGCATATTTTGTCCATATTTGATACTTTATATTCATCGCCTGGCCATACTTCTACTTCTACTTCAACTTCAACTTCTACATCCTTACCACCTCAGACACCGTTGTTCCCATCCCCACCGCTGGGTCAAACAATGTGCCACTCCTCCACTCGCAAACTTTGGCTGCCCTTCTCCAACCGTGCACTAAGGGACGCCCCCTCTTGCTGAGCCCCATTCTATAACCCCCGGTACTGATCTGTGGTGCGCATTTCCCTTTTCTGCTAGGAACCGTCTACCATCGGTAGGAAGACCATGGTCTCCCAACTGTTTCGTCCACATGTATTCTCCGGTTGTCCGGCCTCACCGACTATCGATTATCAACTCGGCTGATCCTGTCGATCCTCGACCTTCCCAAGAGGGTTACTGCTTCAATATGGACTATTGATTCCCTGGCAAAAGAAATAAAGCAACAAAAAACACGAGCTCTTTCCTTTGCTAGCGCTAGCGCTAGCGAGCAAACCGTTGAGTTGTTTGGGGTGTGGGCTGCACTGGGCTGCATTCAAAGGGGCACTACCCGATCCACTGACGTCATTCGGCCACCCTCCGAGGGAGCCTCCGCGGGATATCTTTCCCTTCCAATCCATCCTCGTTCTCGTAAATGAATACATGAATGGTGGTGACCTTGCATTTATCACGCGACACTCACCGTCACAGAATGATTCGAAATTCACAACCGGACTACTCCGTATACTTTTCGCAAATTAGCCGCGCAGCGAGATCGTCTCTCCACCTGCAGCCAGGAGCTTGGCATCTTCATTAGTGCCGTCAGCAATTGGACCCTGTGGACGCGATGGTGATCCGAATCTCAATCTTATCGGGAACCCTCCAATGAGACATACTCAAGGTCGATCATCCTATCAGGTGGAGAGACACAGGATCACTAACTAATCATCGTGAGACAAAATTTCCGGAAACGTGACGCCTAGGCGCATAACCCCTGAGCTCTGAACTCTGTACAACCCACATAACTTTGCCAAGATAGACCTACAATGGGAGACCATCGCGCTTGTCGGACTATGTAATGATATATGATATATTTCTTGTTTTATTGCGCAGTGCAGACACTGCTCGCTTCCACTCGGGGCCACTTTATACAATTACTTTCATGAATGATAAGCTGATCCTGGCTCCATTGACAAAATCCCTTGCCTATCGATCATGGCAACGAGATCGTCATCCATCATAAACTCCCCAAGCTCCATTCCAAATGGGGACAGCCCAAAGTCAGCAGGAGGTAAGGTGCCTCGAGCGCTATTAAGAGATGGGAAGGGGGGGTATCGCCCCGTTGATATCCGGTTCTAAAACTTGAAGCATTAGCATGGAATCTTAAGGCCGAATCAACGCTTCATGTCCAATTCAGACTTACCAGAGCTAACCAGAACCGTATTGAATTGTTGAAGATAGTACCTGCAGCGGTCCACCAAGCGATTTCCATCGTCAAGCTTAGAAAGTGCCTCCGCCGCAAGACCAGGATATTTTTCTGCTTCCTTCGCCTGCGTGGCCATCGAAGTGGTGCTTAGACTTTCATCGCGATAGACCCAAACGGCACCGATAATTGCCAGAGCAGCGTTAAATGCTAAGAAATAGTCAGTCACTTGCCTCGCGATCTAATAAAAGTGTTGCACGATACTGTAATATAAAGAGAACCACCAAGCCCCCAGGAGACTATGCTTCCACCCAGGCTCAGAGACAACACCATGCACGATACCGATGATTTCCATTGCAGACTCAATGCAGATCTGCATACTATTCATTCCCATCTGTTGCAGGAGTTTAAGGTCCTGCGGGTCTCGGTTTTGGCATCTGCTTGCTGCGATGAATTTGACCAAGACGGGCCGGTGAAGTAAGACGCGCAGATTGAGATACCGCAGGCTCAAAATGACGCGCAACTTCCAGGAATAATATTCAAAGCTGGTGGTTATTGGATCTCGAGGCATACCGTCGAGTTGGGATGTTGAAATGAGCTGGAGATTTGGGTCCAGGGATCTCTCCCACGAGAAGAGCCGTTGTTCCATGGTGAAGATATTGGAAATGACCTCTGTAGTGGGGAGAGGCCCATCGCATCCAATGTTTTGGCCGTATAGAAGGTCCAAAACATTCCAGAGTTGTTTATAGAGTGTACTACAGCAGTGCAGTGTTAAATCGCCTAGTCAGGCTTTTGAGGGCGAGGGGATAACAAACATTGTGGAATTGAAGAAGGTCAGGCTGAGGAAGGTTGTTTCATCATTCACAAGAGCAGAAGATTCATCAAAATCTCGCTTCGAAGGCAAATCAAGTTTCACGTAATTATCCGGGATAGCGGCAGGTCTCCCGAAGGTCATACTCAATGTTCTAATTACTTCATCAGTATTCATCGTCGCCTGGATCTCGCAACTAACTCACCGGTCCAATACCACACACCCATACCAAGTACGCTTCCGCATTTCCTGCTCGAGGGTTGAAAATGACTTGGAAGCATTCCGAGAATGTAATCCGAGCTGAAGAGCAGCTTTTACGGCCAAGCCGTGAACGGTCCACGCCTGCACGGATTTCTGCGTGCCTTGGAGGTATTGACCCATCAAGAGGAGAAATTGAACTGTAATCCGAATGAAAGATCAGCAAGACTTCAATTTCTCGAGTAGAATCCCTTCATACCAACTTCCAGAGTAGTCCCTCGGAGAATCTCGCTGCCACAAAGCCCAAGGCCGCGCTCATAAAAAACGTCCGACTCGGCAATCCGGACGTCCGCTTTCGCACCACCGGTCGCCGCAGTCATAGTTGACATGGCCAGCACCATATTCAGCAGGCCAAGCCAGGTTCTTCGCACTTTAGTGAAGTTCTCCCTGTTCATTTGGTGATATGTCTCAAGAAACACAGGAGGATAAATGTACGGGAACAGCAAACCAGTGTTTGAAAAGTATCTTTGGATCATCGCCAAGGTCTCCGTCTGAGGCGGCAACGAAAAGAGATTGACTTGTGGCTTTCTATCTCCAGACTGTCGACGTGGCGGAGATGGTGGGCGTGAAGCACTCACGAAGCCCCCTTCGGCGGCCCCAGGCGAAAGAAGGTACCCCTGTTGAACAACGGCGCGAGAAAGGTGTCTCAAGAACGCGATATTAGACGAGGGGCCTGTTGCTTGTCAGCAAAGATATTCAACAGACGAAAAAAAAAAGAGTTCCCAGCAATAAATACCGAAAAATCCCGAATCCTCTTCATCAGCCAATGTCACCGCACCCATCCCATCAACTGAGTCCTCTGTCCCAGTCAAATCAGGAACATGAACCTGCACTTGGTCACTCTGCTTCTCTACCTGAGCATTTCCATTAACAACACTTCGCACTCCTAACCCACCATCAGAAAAATCTCTTAAATTCCCAACCCGCCCCTCAATTCTATCATTGAGTCCATCAATTTCCCCCCGCACCACAGAAAACAGCCCTTCTAGCCTCTTCACCCTGTCTTCAAGACCATGCAAATAATCCTTCTGAACAATCACATTCGTCGCAGTAGTAGGCGGCGTATAGATACACTCGAACCCCAAATCCCGACAAAGCGAGCACCGCGGCCTAGTCCCATCGCACCGAGACTTGCGCGTGCGGCACGCATCACAAGCGACAGCTACGCGCCGACGTTTGGAAGTTGGCGCGGGTGTTTTCGGGCTCTAAGGCCTCTATTGATTCTGCTGGCATGGTCTCATCGTCCTATCTGCTCATGATTTCCTCGGTATGGGGCAGGATGAATGTCGGGGTTGATTCGGGTGGATGAGTTATGCGGGGAAAGGCCGGAGATTGCGGGGATACGTCGGGTGCACTTCACATCTCTGGGAGGGCTGGTGGGGACTATACTCTCCCCGCAACTAAATTCATGGGAAGTTTATACAATTGCGCAAGGCGCTTGGATATTCAGCGAGATGAGATGGATGGTCATTTCCCGCTGCATTAATGCCATCACTATTGTTGAGTTGCTGTTGTATAGATAACTAGTAGTGGTTAGTTAGTAGCTAGTACTACCTCAGTCGGCGCAAAATTAGATATACAAGCTATTAAAAAGCAAGGATCTAAATTTAGGACTCGTTGCGAGTTGGCAGACCTCGATTCCCGCATATGCTTCATGCGCCAGGCACGGAATGTGAAGTGGTTCAAAACGAATGAGCGCACCCCTGTACGCGCCGAAACATGCACCATCCCCACTTCGCGCCAGCATCAACACTCTCGCACCCTCACTAGTCCTAGTGACATCCTGGCGCCACCGCAGCAACGTATCGCATTATCTCAATGGCCGACACGCGCATAAGGCGCAAAAAAAATAGGGTCTGCCCCACGGCAGATCTGGACCCTTATGCAGGGCCTGTCGACTAAATAGCAATTCGAAACACCGAATCCAACAACCATGTCAATGATCGTCTCTCGAGCGCCTATTAGTGTTGTTGGGTTTCCCTATAAGACGAGACTACCGTGCGGCTCACTTTCAATTCTCTCACACACCGATGCAAGCATGTCGCGGACCTCTCCAGTTGCAGCTGTCGACTATGACTCCCCACCGTCACCAAAGAAGGAGGAGAACCCTCCGTCTCCCCTAAGGGACTGACGAGCCATCGCACGAGTATAGCTTGGAGTTGGGTCGTGGTCACTATCCCTATAACTGCACTCACCATCGCCTTTCTCGTCATGGTATTCCAATATCGAGTGACTCCCGACGACAGTCCGTTCAAAAACCTCCGCTTCCCTTCGACAAGCGATGAAAACAATGCTGTTTTTGTCGACCTAAACTCCAGCGTGATATTATTTGTCACCTCGTGGGCCAGTTCTCTCGCCCCAATGTTGTCCGGATTCCTTATGGCCCTAGCTTCGTTTCCCATCGCGCGCCAGCTATCGAACAATATTCGCAACGGTCGCACAGATTCCCTACCCACCCCCTATCAACTGGGACTGACAATCAGGTTTCTTGATGGGAGCGCCCTCGGAGCGATTTGGAGTTGGATGATTTATGTTGTTTCATGGAGGAAGACTCGGGTCCCGCAAACACCGCTTCTGGTCACTACCTCTAATATCGCCGTGCTTGCTACGGTTCTGGGGTAAGCAGCCGGCCGTGAATAGACTCGAGCTATGGAACTGATGATTTATAATCGGTGGTCTAGTCTTTTGGTATCCGCTGCAGACACTTGGCTCCATTTGGTCACCACAACAGTGCCATTTACCCAGCTATCACCTGTTTCCAGCACGATGAACTATAGCTTTGGTATAACTCCACGATGTCTCACTAGCAACAATTCTGTCGCAGCGCAAGGAGACGCCGCAAGCGATGGATTATTCTGCAGCATATCTATTGCAGCTACGGGCGCTTTCTTTCGCGATCCCACCATTACGTACCAAGTCATAAGCAATATCTCCTCTGAAGCAGCTGTCTATACACATACGAAGTCCGACGGAAAGGTGTACACCTACTTTGGAATTCCCTCTGAGGAATTAGATCCCAACCATGACTTCACTGCGCACAGCTACGCTTCCGAAACGTCATGCTCTCTCACCACGCAACCCTGCCATGTCCGCAACGCCGCATCATCCGTTCGATTCAACTGCAGTGCCGCCTTTGCCGGCTTCATCAATAACCGAGACCTACAATCCGCGTTTTACACGGACGAAAAAATGAACGATGTGACCAACACCTATAACAAGGGCACAGGCAACCCTTATTACTTTTCGTTCGCCTCGGCGGAAAGCACGGGAGTCTCAACTGTACCAGGGGGTAGTGAAAACAAGGATTTCGTCATGAGCCTGCACGGTGCCCTCACATTTGCTCTTGGCTGCAAGAGTACCGTATATGATGTTGAGTATGACCAGGTTAATGGAAGTATCACACGTTTCAACACTCGAATCAGCAATACCTCGGTCAGCAATATTTGGCAGACAACTGTAGCAAACTACCCCGGAGACTGGGATCTCCCTGTGAAGCAAGCCATGACGGCTGCATTCTACTCGACTAATTCCAGTCAAGAATTTGCGGATATGGTTGCATTATCTTACGGCAAATCCAGCATGGCGTTCGGTGCGCAGGGTATTGAACCAAGACCAGCTCTCGCCGTGCAAAGGCGGAACACAACACTGGTTGCAAGACTTCCAGTAGCACCCCTGATTGCTGTTGTAGCATTTTGTCTACTATTTGTTGTGGCTGGTTTGCTGCTTACGGGGCTAGCTATTTGGGCAGCGCGGTTTGAAGATGTTCGCAATATACAAGCAAGCCTTGGGATCGTCGGACTGGTGGCGGATCGCTTCGAGAAGGATGATCTCAAGAAGGAGGCTAAAGATACCGATGGCTTTTTTGCGGAGTATGTCGGTCACTCAGGCCGGCGGGTTGCAATCGAGAAGTATACGGAGACGGATAGTACATATAGATACACCACCTGGCAGAGCGCAGGTATCTCGGATTTTGGCAATAAACCACCCAGCAGGTAGGATCTGACCTCGAGCGGGCCGGGCCACCAGAACGGGCTGATCCATCATTCATAACTATAATCTCATCATGATTTGTTGAGCACGATATATCGCATAGTTAGCACGGTTCAGACCAATGTACGTAGTAGTAGCATACTATGAAGTATCCAACCACTCCATCTACAGGGGCAGATGAAAATAACGAAGTCGACCCCCTGCTAGGGTGTGATCGCGTGCATCAGTAGCGCCCGTTGCAACCAAATACTCGGCACAACGTTGTGCAAGGATACGATCACATTAGTACGAACTTTTGTTTCAAAGTGGGGGCACTGGCAGGGGGGTGATCGCCAATATGTAGATGTATACAAATAAGGCTTCTAGAATATACGATTGCAAAGTGGAAATAGCATGGAAACGGATTCATGAATTGTTTCCATCGCGGTCTGCAGATAGAAAGAATGATATGGTATCAAAGTGTTTTGGGAAAAAAGATAAAAAATCGTCAGTCGTGTCGGCTCGCAAAATCCGACCCAGGAGATAAGCCAAGAACCGGTCTAGGCAGAGCTCTGGAAGGATATGCGATCAATGAATGCAGCCAACTGTCTATCAAAGACAAGAGACAAATTTTGTGCTGAGAAATGCTCTCCCGCTTGGCCTCCATCAGATGGCACTGCCTCTGAAAGAGATCAAGTGGAAGAAAAAAACAACCCCTTCCAGTGTGTCGGAAGGTGCTGGGAATGAAAAGGGGGCCTGAAGGCAAATGAAGAGAATGTTGAAAATGCGAAAATGATGGACGGCTTAGATATGCAAGTCGATGTTTAGGCCTTGACACAGTATTGGTAACCCTTCCATAGATTTGAGCAAGTGTTGTCCAAGCCCGGGTTGAGGCTTTGGAAATCAGTTGCAGTGATTCCATATTGAACTTCAATCTTGCGGCAGTAGTCGTTTGCCTCGACGGTGTAGTATTGTTGGCAGGATTTGGAGGCGTAAGGGTACGGTCCATAGTTGCCGCCAGGTGCCAGGCTGGACGATGGCGCCGGGGCAGGTGCCGAAGAAGGCACAACAGTGGGAGCAGCAGTTGTAGTAGGGGCAACAGGAGCAGGGGCCTCGGTGGTGGTAGCTGCGGGCGCGGGCGCAGATGTAGTAGTGGGCTGAGCGGTTTGAACGACGGTGGGCACGATGGTAGAGGGAGCGAACGTCTCGGTGGCAGCGGGGATAGAGCTGGAGGTGGAGGTGGAGGTTTCTCCGGAGCTGCCAGAGCTGCCGGAGCTACCAGAGCCGGAGTCGCTGGCTCCATCCCACTGGCTCGAAGTCAGGGTAGCGATGAGACCCGAGTTGCAGTTGCTGGTGCCGGTAGCCCAGCCCAGGAGACGGTTGGCGATATCTGTGGCATAGCAGTTGGTGGAGGTAATACCATCACCGAGATTGCCGTTGCTTGCAACAGAGCCGGAGTTGTAGCATCGGGCGGCCCTGTAGTAGGTGGCCGATTCCTCGGAGTCCTTGTACTGGGTCAGACAATTCTTGAGACCCCCGGTGCCAGTAGTACCGTCGCTAATCATGCCGTGGATTGTCTCATACGGACAAGGAGAGACAGGCGAGTCTCCTGCAGCATTATTGCAGGCGTGTTGGCCATTGTGGCTCTGCATCAGACCAGGATTGATGACTCCATTGTCTGTGGTCTTCACGCGGACACAGCCATTGCTCTCCTGCATCACGATAGAGAAGATGTAACGAGCATCGACACTGCTTTCGCTAGCAATGGCATTGATCGCCTTCTTGATGTCGGCGATCTCCTCCTCAGAGTTGTCGTCACCGTAACCCATGTTACCACAACTGGCCTTCATGACCTCTTGGTTGCTTTCCCACATGTCCTCGAAGGTGGACATCCATTGAGAGACCGAGGGCCAGCCCTGCGAGGTAAGACCATCACCAGCAAAGATACCTGCGTACAAACTGGTGCTACGTCCACTAAGAGAGTGAGTGGACTTAACATCTGCAGACACGCTGTAGAGATTGGATGCGACTGGAGCCCCAGAAATGAGGGGGAGGCTGCCAGCAGCGATGATAAAAGGAAGGAATTGCATGATTGCTGCAAAAAAAAGAATGAGTGTCCAGCACAAAATGAGAGAAGAAGGCTTGCTTGAAGAAAAGAAAAAAGGAGAGAAAGTTCCGAGGGGGGAGAAATTGGGTTGTGCGGTATATAAAGTCACCTGCCCAGGTGGTCAGTGACTCGTCGTTGCCCGTCTTACGTGGAGTCAATTCGACCTCACTTCTCTCCCTTCGCCCATTCACCACTCTCCGTTCACTCAACTGTATGGAGTACACACACACAGATGTGCCCTGTCCATCAGCAACAGGAACATGATTACGGGGACCACCGAACAGGATCCACTACGCTCCACACACTCCACAGGAAAAAAGGCCAACGAAGCCTTGCGTTGCAGAAGGTGAAACAAACTAAGACCTCCACCGAAAAGAACGAAAGTTTGCCCTGACTGGCAACGATGCGCGAGCGGTCACTGAGTTTCATGTGCAACAGTGAGGGATCAATAGATGATCGGGCGGGCCTTGCATGACCCTAAGCGGGATTAGGTTAGCAGATGGATACTGCGAGCCCATTGAACCCATCCAGGCGGTGCTGCCAGTGGCGATTTTCCTGGGCCGCGGTGGGGAGCGTGGCTTGAATTTCGAGCTCTCAGCTGTAAAGTCGGTCCAATTGCGTGGCCACGATGCCCTTTTTTGGTGACTGGCGTGCGCAATGCCTGTGGGTTACATGTCTAGACCTGCTCTGTTTCTCTTTTCCCTCAACACCGAAGGGTCATTCAGGGTACTCAGGGTGCTCAGGATATTCAGGGTCAGTGGTGAATTACGAGGGTGGCTGTATACCAGTGGAGCAAACCTCTTCTCCTGAACCCTGAAGGGCAGGTATCCCATGTCTCGCTGGGAACATCATGATATCCATCGAGGGCTAGGTACGAGTAGCCCCCAAATGCATCCACCGCACGGAAAATGTTTTGCGATATGTGACACATGGTCACTCACGACTTCGATGTCTCGCCCCCGGAGGCCATTTTTCAAGGTGGAGGGCACGCCTCAAACTAGCCTGATCCTTTCGATTCTTTTGCCTCGGAGGGATGACCCGAACGCCACTCGCGTACCCAATGAGTGCGTGGAATTTGAATTAACCGTTTATTCGTATTCTCGATGGCCCCGGGGTCCAAACTCCAAGGTAACATCTCATCTATTTTGTACGTACAACATTATGAGTAGACACATGTAATTAAATACTACTTCTGTGACACGGGAATTTTCTCTTTCTACAGAAGGCCTCGGGACGGAGTACAATTGAAACGAACGCATTGCTTGGTTGCTAACAGTGGAGCCTGGGGAGAGCCACGCATCATTAATCGGAAACGAACAAAACGGTTAATTCCGACCCTGATATCTCCTTGGTCCACCGTGACAGACATGAAGCATATACATTTCCATGTCGCTGTGCGAAATGAACTAGGACTTTAAGTCCGACACAAGCTTCTCAACATCCATCTCCTCTGAACGATAAAATCCCAAGGCATCAATCATCGGTCGGTCATCAAAACGATACAGGTACACCGCCACCCCAGCATCGGCCAGATGCTGGTACTTGTGCCATGACGGTACGCAAAAGGTATCCCCTTCTTCCCACAGATACTCCTTCCCGTCGATGATCGAGCGTCCGTGACCAGTGACGACATGGTAAACGGCCGACGTGGTCTCGCGACGGGATGGCGCAGATGCTCCAGCTGAGAGCCGCTCTGCGCATCCTCCGAGCACACGGCTCACTGGTAAAAAGCATATTAGCAGTGGGTCAAACAGAATATCAAAATGAGAGATCTCCCAATTTCCCCTGAATATCAAACGATTATCACAAACAGGGGGAACTTGGTGTTCAGGGGACAGTGTACGGAGTAGTGCAGGGGGAGGAAGGGCTGGGTTGAATTGCAATTCCTTACCTTCACGCCCATCATCTTTCAGATACCGACAATATGCCCAGTCCCCTGGTTCAGCATCCAGCCTCGCCCGCATCTCCGACCACGGAAACACCAGCGGGGAAGTCTCACTCTCCACATCCGCGGCTGGGTACCGCGGCTGGTCGAAATGCTGCACAAAATGCACGGGGAAGTGGCGGAAATTTGGTAAATCCAGCCCATCCAGCCATACCATCGGCCCTGACCCGTCCTTACCGTGGTCGTGGTAATTCCAGGTCGGGGTGAGGATCACGTCGCCTCGTTGCATTTTGATGCGCCGACCGTGCACGGCCGTGAAGCCGCCCTGGCCTTCGATGATGAAGCGCATCGCAAACGCCGTGTGTCGGTGTGCACGGGCTGTCTCGTTTGGCATGACTAATTGTAAGCCTGCGTAGAGGGTGTCGGTTGTATAAGGTGCATCTTGTTGTTTTCATAGTTAGTACGAGCTCAGATAGTTGCACACCCTGTCAGGGCATCAACTCACCACGGGCGGGATTGATGAGCATCAAGACCCGGCGTTCGGCTTGGGACTCAGGAACAAGATTTCCTGCTCGTTCGAGATTCGGTCGGATCGATTTGTATTTCCACACATTGGGGATGGTGGTTGGGTTGGGAGCGGGAGGATTCAGTCGTGCCATCTGCTTCCACAGGGGGAGGGTCTTGCTCGCTTCTAGATCTGCGAGAAGCTTCTCCTCTGAATCAACTGTGGTGGCTTCTGTTGTAGACATGGTCGCTTCTGGTATTTTGTGTTTCGCAAGAAATAATACCGGCTCTGCTTCGAGTTCAGCTACTTCAACTTTGAAATTTCCTATGATTTTCTTGAGTCCGGGTCCTGGTCTTTTAAGTTCCGATTTATGGTATTAATTGATAGTACTGACAGCTACTACTATACCCAAGATATATACTAGTGCAAGTGTTTGGTGTCCTGTTCCGGCAAATTCAAGCCGGGGTACATCGGGAACGCCTCCCCGGACAGCTTTCGGAATTTATTGGGAAACACTCTTATAACTTCGGAAACCGTCTCGCTCAGTATATTGATCAAAAAACTTCCTATTGCTCATTTTTGTCATTTGGGGATAAGCTAGAGCCGTCGGAATGACCAGGGAGCATGCTAAAGAGTCCCTAGAGGGTACATTTCTGAAAGTACGTATAACCGTTGAGATAGATGGAACATCTGTTGATGGAATAATAGAGCCCAACTTACCCTAGCAATTGTCTCGCATTTCTAAATGAAAAGCTAATCGAATCTTCGAATAATACATGCCGGGTACCACTAAATATCGTCGTTGTTGGCGCCGGACTCGGCGGACTCGCAACAGCCATTGCGCTAGCAAGCTCAGGACATAGTGTCACTGTTTATGAACAGGCACCTGCACTTGGAGAGGTACTATCATAATTTATAACATACCCTACATCGAAAACTTTTGAAAATCCTTTACTGACAAAGTAGGTCGGTGCGGGAATTCAAATTCCCTCCAACTCCACCCGACTCCTAAGCAGACTCGGACTCGATCCATACCTCGAGAAATACGTAACAGAGCCCGAGGTTATTTCATTTCGCCGATGGGAATCCGGGGATATTATTGGTCTCACTTGCCTCATGCCTGACTTTCGAAATATCTTTCATGCGCCGTACTATGTGATTCATCGAGCCGACTTTCACACAGCTTTACACCAGCGCGCATTGGACCTTGGTGTGAGCATTAAACTTGCTTCTCGGGTGACTGAGTACAATCCTCAGGGCTCGAGTATTTTTTCTCGAGAATGGGACTACTGTTTCAGCCGATTTGATCGTGGCTGCTGATGGTTCGTTCTTCTTTGTCACAATTTGTGAATTATTTTAATGCTCGAGCAGGAGTCAAGTCCGTCGCACGGAGATTGGTAGATAAACCAGGCCAAAGGGCCTTCGAACAAACAGGGTTTGCTGCTTATCGAGCCACCGTGGATGTTGCAAAAATGAAGGCAGATCCTGAAATCTCATGGTTGTTGGAACGGCCCTCACTCAACATCTGGTACCGAAGACCCTGGGTAAATGTCAAAAATTTATACTAACTCATGGATAGGATCGGCGATCAAAGACATGTTATGACATATACAATTGGAGCAGGCAAATCGTTCAACATGGTGCTCTCTCATCCAGATACCACTGATCCCGTCTCCTGGGATCGGTCCGACGCACTGAGTGACATGAAACGAGAATTCCAAGGGTGGGATAAAAGGTATGATCAACCATCTTGGAATGACCAGAGATCTAATACTAACTCACAAGGCTTGAGAAAATCATTGGAATGATCGAAAGCACCATAAAATGGCCCCTTGTAAGCGGAATCCCGCTCACCCGCTGGGCAAGCGGTCGCATCGTAATTTTGGGCGATGCGGCGCACACAATGCTACCATATATGTCCCAAGGCAAGTGTTCCTCTCCATAATTGTCTGACCAGGATTCTAAGATTCCCAGGTGCTGCAATGGCTGTCGAAGATGGCGTGGCATTGGCATGTCCCTATCCAAGATAGAGTCGAAAGCAGATATACCTCAGGCTCTCGGTATTTTTGAACAAGTTCGGATTGATCGAACAAGCAAAATGCAAGAAGCGAGTCTGTTGAACGGAAAACTGTGGCATTTTTCAGATGGGCCGCTTCAGCGTGCTAGAGATGCCGCTATGCAACCCGAGACAAGGGGTGAACCTTTTAGCCATAGTCCGAATCAATGGAGTGATCCCGCGACACAGATGTGGACGTACCAATACGATGCGGAGGCAGAGATTGAAATAGCCTGGCAGAGGTCTGGAATGTGATTTTTATATATATCTGGACTTGATAAGGTTAGGTAAAATGCAGTGACCTAGAGCTCGCGTTTGAAAGGGAGGCCAGCCAATTCATGTACTTTGAGATTCCGAGAGACCTGGCAGAGGCAATTGAGGAGAACAGCGACCGTGATATGAGGAGAAATCTGGAAACTTGAAAGAGAGCCAAGCCCACAACAGCCGTAGTACGAGTATAGTGATATTTCAATCGGGCGTCCACAACCTGAATGTCATTAATCGGGGACCAGGCGCGGAGGTGAGACAACTTTACTTTGCAAATACCCGAATATTTCCCTTTCTCACACTGCGTCCTTCGCAACCCTCTAGAGGTCCTGTGGATTCACCGATGGAATAACACGAATTGAATCTCTTCCTATAGAGCTACTCCACTCGTTATCTCTTACCTTCCACGGGATAATCTGGCTGGATACGCCAGCGTCTGCAAAGTCTGGAATGCAAACACCGAGAGTCTGACATTTGCTTCGGTACGCTTAACTCCCTCTCGTCTAGTTGAATTTCGCCAAATACTCGACTTTTCTGTTATATCTCCTCATTTCCAAAAAAAAAGCGTGGTCAAGTGAAATCCATTCTATTCAAAGCTCTTCTCCCTGAATATGATGTGGCGGCTCGCTCGAAGTATGAAACTCAAGAAAATCGAACTTAAAATAACAAATCCTATTACCAGGCAATCAAGTCTCTTTTTGAAACTTTAGCCCTATGGCCGGAGAGAGAAGACTGCAAGATATCGCTTGAAATTGCAGCTCAATCTCACAGTGACTTGCAAGCAGAGCCAGACAGTGAAAAAAAAGAACCGTTTCTTGAAGCCTCATATTTATGGCAACAAAAACGATCTTTTCAATCGGAGATTCGCGCATTCTCTTTTAAACATCGAGGAACAAAAAATAGTCTCTGTCTCGTTCCAGTAGTCACAGGCCTTGATATATGGAGCGCTGGGCGTTATCGAAAAGTTACCCCGTCCTCAAAGGTCATATCTCGACCACCGCGACTCCGATCCTTACCATTGGACCCTGATGACAATGAAAGAAAAGATGAGATGATAAGAAACCATCTACGCGAAGGTATACATAGTCCTCTGCCGGTTGCTGCTCTTACCCCCAAAATCATGCTTTACATTCAGCATACGTTAACATGCATAGAATTTGCGCTCAGCCTTGCCGAGTGGTCTAAATCGTTGAGATACCTATGTTTACAATACACTGGAAATTCACCTGAGAATCATAATATCTCTCCTTTTATCCGCTCGGCGGCCGGAAAAGACTCTTTGAGCTTGGCCCTAAACGCCTTGAGCCAGCAACTGGAGACTATCTTGCTGTTGTCGGTCAGCATTGGCCCTGAAATTTTCTGGCCACCAATTCAGAAAACCCAGCCCTATTGGCCTAGATTGTCCCATTTTAAATTGGTTATACAGCCGCTACATAGTCTGGACCATGGCTATTCACAAAGACCCGAGATGGAGGGAACGGTCACCCAATGAATCTGAGGATGGCTCTTCGGACGATTACGACCTTGCACCACAGGATTATAAACCCGATTTGTTTCGCAGCATGCCTCTTGATACTCTCGGCGATATTTATATAGCAGCCGGAGATGCAGCCCGTCAAATGCCTCAGCTAAAGATCATGGAGCTCGAAGCTTCTATTCCTAGAATCGACGGGCTAGAACATGTATTGGGATGTTGCCCCTCGCATAAGTTCAAATATGATCGACCGAGTGGGGCGGCCACATGGATCAGCTCATCGGAATTTCACGTTACCGAAAGAATGCGTGAAACTTGGGATGCAGCAGCAAAAGCCCATGGTCATTTTCAAGTTAATATCGAGGTTTGTTCTTCGTAATCACCTTTATTTCTCCGGCTTTGTTTGTTTTTTACTGATACTCTCATTATTCAAAAATGCAGAACTTCAAAGATTATGATCATCTAGGGAGATGGGATGATTGAAATTCCGAAAAAAAGACCCACAAGTTTGAATGTCACGTTGAAGACTGTTAGTGGGGTTCTCATCAGATAATCTTCCACCGCCGTTGATTTATACTTTATAACACGTTATATTTTAATCTAGTTATTACATAGTTCAAACTATGTACGTATGTACAAGAGCTAGCATGTAGATCATGACAAGCTAAAATAACAAGGATCTTTTCTCCGCCAGCGTGGGAGTAGAAATTCAGCAACTCAAGGCTGAACATTTTCCCAACGACCAAGAATCGGAAATAATGGCGAAAACACAAAAAGGAGATCCTTTGAAGGGACACGCGTAATCACCGACCGTACTACGTACTTTGTATTAACATGCTGGCGTGCACTAAGGCAGTGAAGCAGTGGGAAACCAGGAAAGCGGAGTACCCCAAAGACCCCAAAAACATGTCGTACCCGTACTTCGTACTCCGTACTCCGTTCCGAATGCACGGCTTCCCGCCCATCCGATCTGCACCTCCGCCGGTCCTTCCGCCGGTTTTCTGTGCAATCCCGACCCCTGAGGATCGCGTAACCCATGGTTCCAGCACCACAGTCCTCCGAACCACCGATAAAGGCAGCGAGTGACTCTTAATAAGACATAGATAAATTCATCTCCTCCAGATGCGAAGGACCATGCCTCATTCAAAGCACATCTGCAATGAAAAGACAGGTGCTCGTAGGGTAGTGCCTGTTGACCGGGCGGGCTAAGAAGATGGCCGAGAACAGTCGAATTGAATCTACTCCATACAAGGAGTAGTATTAACATGCAGAGAAAATTTCATGAGCCGTCTCTTAATGCGAGAACCCGGATGATATTCAATGGCTCGAAAGGTACCCGCTAGAATGACGTATCAGTGCAAATGCAGTATACATAAACCTGGTGGACAATGCATGTGTAATTCTGGATGCATAGATCTGCATCCCGAGCACACGAGGATAGTACTTACCTCCGACCAACATGAAAGACCGAGCATGATCAACTTTTTATGATCATCATGCCTAGTATCGGCTTGGAACAGGAGGCCCCCAGCTAAGCGAGCTAGAAATGGGGCCTTGCTAAGCATTTAGCCCAACTTGACTTCTTCGAGTCCTCCTCGGACTATCCACCTATATGAAATCCCATGTGAGCTTCATTAAGCTGAACCAGAGGATTTTCGGACAGGGATTCGTGCATAATGACGTTAAGTACGGAGTATCTAAAGTTTCATTGATCGAGCCCACAGCCTTGGGAGCTTCTGCCAAGTCGCCACAGCGGGTATCGGAAGCGCAATAATGCGACGGGATCGACAGGATCGCTGAAGATCATGCTCCACTTGCTTCCCCCTTATGCTCAAAACCACACGACCAGAGTCGGAGGCCGAACTCGGCGAACGTCATGGACCAACCTTGAATTTCCTTCCCGTTATCAAACCTAATATCTTAAATATCTAATCAATCACCCTTCTTATCCACCTAGAATTGAATTTGATCTTTACCGACGACATTCAGCAAATCAGGAAGGTGAGCATCAAGCATTTCTAGCAACCTCCGAATGATTTTCACCTACAATTGACAGGAGCTAACGTGTAGAAGTGATCCAAAGATTTTGCTGAATTCTATGGCGACCACCCTGAAATTCCGGGCGATGATATGGGCAGCCCTTTTGTCAGCCCTGGTGCCCTACTGCTTTGCATTTCAATACAGCAAGTCCGCTGATGGAACTGTCCATGTGTCAGACGAACAGGATATTTATTCTGCGGAGGCCGCTGCTATGGTCGAGGAAGATGACAGCGGACAGAATGCGGTAGGCCCGACCCAATCGACTGCTACCTCGGAATATTAGCTAATTGGTTGGCTCCAGGACCATGGCGACATAGACGTACCAGATGGTTCTGAGTTCACCTCGTTTAATGTTAACGCGAATGGCGACGAGGAGATTCCCGGTTTTATCACGAAGGATCTGGACAATAAGACAATCGAGCATCTCTTCATTGTTCTCCATGGGAGGTTAAGAAATGGAAATGACTACTGGAAGCTGCTCAACGAGTCCATTGAAAATGCCAGAGAAGACAACTTCTCCGGAACGGACCGCAAAATGGGAGTGCTTGCACCGCAATTCTTCTCTACGGAATACAACTCTGGCCAGTACAAAGACAATCAACTGGCCTGGGATGACTTGAATGCTTGGCAACCAGGTGGTCAGGCTAATCATCCCTCAGGTACAAACCTTACCTCCTTCGACGTCATAGACGGCCTGGTCAAGATTCACTCGGACAAGAGCAAGTATCCAAGCCTCACGAATGTCACCGTTGTTGGCCATGGTGGCGGTGGTCAGCTTGCCCAACGGTACTCCGCTTTGGGTAACGATGCCCCTGATAATGTCCATATTCGGTACATTCATGGCGATGCCTCGTCGTGTATGTACTTTACTGAAGACCGTCCAATTGTCGCAGACAACGACACTTCAAAGGACTCATGTGGTCACTACAATACCTGGAGATATGGCTTCGACAAGTTCCCCGGCACAGGAGACAGGCAATTGACGCCAAAGGAATATTTCAAGCAATACCTCACTCGGGACGTTGTTTCGATAGTGGGACTCCAAGATACAGGCCACTCTGGGGATACGAGTTGCATGGGGAGAGTGCAAGGTGGCACCAACCGGCGTGCTAGAAACTTGACTTGGTACCGATACATCAATGAGCTCGCTCGCACCGACGAAGACCTAGAGGATTTCCCTAACTCTTTCGATAATCTCCCCGACTGGAGCGATATGGTGGATGGAAAGAGCCAACTGCGGCTTGTTGTTGTTGAAGATGTAGCTCATAATGCGGAAAAGCTCTTCCGTGGGGATCTTGGGCGAGGAGCGCTCTTTCACGATGGCTATATTGATGGCGGCTGGCGTCCCACGGACAGCGACAGTGATTAGATATAACAGCCACATAGAAAGCAATAGAAAATAGAGCCAACTACTATGATACATTATGGCAAGTGCTACTTGGCCAACAAAGCTTTCCCACTTAGCCAGACAGGATTTGAACGGTAGAAATTGGTAGATTGCGTGGCCGGATTCTGGAGCGAACATGTTCTGTTCGCATATACGGTATGCTCATTGTGTAACAAATTATATTTTTACTGCCCTTGCTTTCTGCCATCGGTCCAGGTTTCCATATGCGTCCATATTCACTTGTGGGTTTGAGCCAATTGGTAATATTTTTAATGATATCCTCTCTCCCAGGAGAAGGGAAATTCAACTTTTTGAGGGGTGTGATAAATAAAAGTGCCGAGTCAAGGAAGAATGAGTGTCTTCGATTCCCCAATCTATTTTTTATAATCACACAAACCTTGGAAGACCAACAGTATATCAACAGGGCGGAAAGGTAGACTCCAGGGCTGAAATGCTCCCGAGGTTCCGGGAGATAAGCGTGTCCCAGATACAGAAAATATTGCAAAAATATGCTCTTTTGTTACAGGTTATATGGTGATAAAGACAGATTATCCAGGATAAAATTAAAAACAACTTCCAAGGTTTTTTGAAGGGATTCTGCTTGACGATTGGCACTCCGACTTGAAGTCTTCGGAGTGAGCTGGATGCCGACAAGGGTTGATATTTTTACAATGGCTTGTTAGTAATTATCATTTAAAGGCATATCCTATTCATATAATTTCAAGATTGTAGCAATACTATACCTTGCTGTCGAAATACTAAAAGTCCAAGCGCTTATTACTGTATCACGTGTTTGCTTTGTCAGTCAGGAGATGCTTCAACGTCAGTTGTCTAGCTTGTCCAAAACATAAACGCGTCGCGTACCGAGTACAACTAAACAAGTTCCCAGCATACAATTGTTTCACGGGAATCAAGAATATTCGAAATGTTGGAACTCGTCAGGCGACTTTTCCGACGCCAAAAAAGCCTCTACGGGCTAGACCATGCGGTCCTCAATGTGGTCCTACCACTTCAAAGTATGTGGATGAATATGGGATATTGGGAAGTGAGTGGAGCCATTGAAATATTTTGCATACTCTGCTAAGCCAAATCAGCATACATCAAAGTTTCCAGAGGCCTGCGAGTCTTTGCTAGTTGAAGTACTACGTGCAGGTCTTCTGGAAGACAAAAGCCAAATCCTGAAACTACTAGATGTCGGATGTGGATGTGGTGATTCATCACTTTATCTCACTCAGAAAATCCAATCAGATTCCAAATTTGCTCCCAGTTATGAAAGCAATTCACAAGTTCAAGCCCGGGAAATCACAAGTCAAAGGTCGATCGACACTTACATTGGGATCACCCTGGTGCCTGAACAGGCAGCATTCGCACAGCAGCGGATTGATGAAAGCCGAAAATTGAATCAAGAGGCTGCAAGCGGGTTTGCCGAAGTTTTCTGCGCTGATGCTGCCGATCCATCTAGCTGGTCTGGAGAGTTGAAGGACTCTATTTCCCACATGGCCGACAAATCAAGTGATCCCAAAGTAGGTACATGGGTTCTTGCTCTGGATACGATGTATCACTATCGCCCCTCGCGCCTCCCGCTCTTTCAATATGCGAACTCTACTCTTAACGCCTCGATTATGGCGTTTGATCTGATTCTGGGGTCTGAAACGACCTGGAAACAGCGTCTCTTTCTCCGATTGACGTGCTGGCTCACTAGGTCACCATATGGGAATTTTGTTCCTCAAGAGGAATATAAAAATCTTCTGATTAAGGGAGGGTACGAGCCTTCCCAAATCGAAATCAGGGATATATCGGGTCATGTCTTCCCCGGTCTCGTGAAATTTCTTAACCAAAGAGTCAAGGAAGGAACACCGTTCGGGCTGAATGTGAGCAAATTTCGTGCGGCTGAATTGCTGTTTGGCTGGTGGGCAAATACTGGAGTTATCAGAGGAGTAATTGTCACTGCCCGCAAATCATGAGCGCGGTCAATGACAAGTCTTCACCGGGGCAGTATTCGATGAACAGTCTTGCATACTTGGCCAACTTCATTTCATCTATATGTGCCAGTGAATAGATGTACCTAGCCGTGCCACATTATTGAGCAGATATTTTGCAATTTCATCAGCTTCTAGATATTCTCTAGCAGATCGGAATACCATGTCCAACCATAGAATTTAATTCAATTCAACACTTTATTAACCCGATGCAACCTAACTTACCCGGAATTCCATGGTCTAAATAATTCCCTATCGTGACTGATCTTTCGCGCATCAATTAGTTCAATCTAGATTATTAATCATACCCCCGAATTATGATAATCGGGACGCAAAGCATACTGTTTTCAATTACAGAATATATGGTTCATGTATTCCCTCAGCCGAGGCATCACTGCATATGACAGATCTGTTGGAATCATGTTGAAAATATGCGCCAATGGTATCTCCACTCAACCGTAAAAGGGGAAATAAATAGTTTGGCTCCTCCACACCACGTCAATCTCCTCCACTCAGAGCTTCTCTATTGCAAATTCCAATTCAACAGCCTCACCTTGCGACTCCGCACGTTCCATCCCGTTCGGAAGTACATAGTACCCAACTATAACCGCCCCGGGTACCACTACAAAAAAGCTACCATGGCTAAGTAGGCATACCCATGGAGGAGAATATTGTTTATACCGTAAATATGTACTAACACTTCTCTCCTAGCCAACCGTTACATTCCGCTATCGTTCATTGGCCGCTTGCCTTGATCATCTCCGCCCATGGATTCGACGCATTGCAATTAGGCTTGCCATTCATCCCCAAGGATATTGTCAACTACCTTCCTACAACCACCGAGCTCTCCATCATTTCATACTACATCCTCTCTCTCGGTCTTTTGACCGGCCTCGCGGCTGTTGCTACTGGTATCTACCAGGCCAGCCGCCTCGTGGCCAGACTAGGTGGTGTTTATGATGCGGACAAGAAAGCCATCAAGCCTAAGGTCAAGACACTGGTTGCCCACGCTGCTCTGAACGACATTGTTCTCCTATCCAGTGCCGCGTACTGGCGGACACGTCGGGAGGCAGGAGGTGCGGCTTCTGTGCCTGATGCGACGATGCTGGCAGTCGGCGTTGCCCTCGGTAGCATCCAGTTGTTTGCTGCTGGTCTCGGTCGCAGCTTGGTGTATAGCGCTGGAGCTGGAAAGGCAAAGAAGTCGCAGTAGATGCCACTTGTCGCAACTCTTGCGTCTCAAAGACACAGGAGATCTTCGTATCATGATGTTCATGTCGATAAATACCACCTGATCGATTCCCGGGATATTAAATCGAGTATACAGCACGGTCGGAAATGAGGATGCCGTGCGAACAGGAATGTTGCCGCACATTCTAAACCTCTTTTTCAAATAGAGACGCCACGCATTTTAGAATTTGCGGGCAACTTTGACCAAAATCTAGCGGGGATACTCACATCTTTGTATGAAGTTAAAATTTCAAATCCTGATACCTTATTTCGGTTATATGATTCTGCTATCCGATACAGGTTCTCTCTGTCTCTACCTATAAAAATGCCAGAACGAGCCTCCTAACCAATCGTGATCGTAGCATTTCATCAAATAAAAAGACGATCATAGAGTGCGCAAAGTGGAAAATATCTCACGCCTCACGCCATCTTGCTCATAAAACTATACTAATATATAATAAAGCCGTTGGATTCGTCCCCACAGCTTGAAAGTGCAGATCCAGAGCCAGAGCCGTCTCATCGGAACCAATCCGGTTTACCCGGTCTACCCCCGAAGACGCCAACCATCCCCCACTGGTATATTCGAGCCCCGCAGAGTCGCGCAAATATAAAATGCAAATATTACACATCCCAATCAGATAGCTAATACCCGTCAGCTATTCCCAAAAAGCTTCTACGACAAAATAATCATGCCCCTCCCCTGGAAAAGACTCATCCGGTTCATCGCGACAGATGGCCGCACCCTCCGCGGGGAACCAATTCTCGAAAATCCCAAAATAGACCTAGGATTCATTACCGAAGCAGATAAACTTCAGGCACGAATCATCGAGGGCGACGATATCTTCGACACGACCGGAAATACGCGGGTCACGGATGAACTTGTTACCGTGAAGACTATCCTAGGCCCGTTGGCACAGGAAGACGTTCCTATTTTGCGCTGCGTGGGGTTGAATTATGCGAAGCATAGTAAGTGTTTCTCTCTTTCTCATATCATACCACAGCTTTTATCTTCATTTGGCGATTTTTTTTCGAACTTGAATTCATATTCAAAAATCCAATTACTAACGCTCTGCAATGCAATAGTTAAAGAAGCAGGCCGTACTCCACCACCATTCCCATTCATATTCTTCAAACCAAACACAACAATCCATGACCACGGCAAACCCGTCGAGATCCCGAAAATTGCACAGGATGAGCAGGCAGATTACGAAGGCGAACTTGTACGCCTCGCCCCGCCCAACCAAGCCAGAATACCTCGCATGCATGCAACGCTAACAAAAAGCAGTGTCTCGTAATAGGTCGCGATGCCAAAAATGTTTCTCCAGACGAGGCACTCTCATATATTGGCGCCTACACGGTCGGAAACGACATCTCCTCACGCAAATTGCAGCGCGATGCCGCTCTCGCGGGACGGGTACCGCAATGGGGGTTCTCGAAGGGCTTTGATACATATGCGCCTCTGGGTCCGTGTCTTGTTGCTGGGAGTGAGATTGCGGATCCTAGTCAATTACTGCTGAAAACTGTTGTGGATGGGGAGATAAGGCAGGAGGAGAGCGTTTCCGATTTATTGTTTGATTGTGCGTACTTGGTTAGTTATTTGTCGTCTGGGACGACATTGCAGAAGGGGAGTGTTATTATGACGGGAACGCCTGGTGGTGAGTACATACCTGTTTTCCCGATGTTTCTCTATCGAAACTACATATGGGTGGTTTGTATTGGCTTGACTGACTGGGATATGTTTAGGTGTTGGGGCTGGGCTGAGCCCGCCGCGATATCTTGTTCCTGGCACGCAAATGGATGTGTCGATTTCGGGAATTGGAACGTTGAGGAATAATGTCGTCTTTGCGTGAGAATCCAAGTTCATTGATCGCAAATTCTATTGGGTGCGGAATGAATGTTGGGAGCTTGAAGAAATAGAATAAAAGATATTTGTGAAACCACGATATTACTAGTACATTTCTAATCTGTCCAGCACTGTGATCGGCCTAGGGTAGGCAACTTAAAAAGTCGAAACTTGAAAACGACGAATCCACCTCAAAGAAATGACCCAACTTATATATTATCTACTATTTAGTGTCAATTTTATTTCTTTTCCTACTAATCATGATACGGATAATTAAAATCTACTTGGGATTCCAACTCCTTTCTCGAAAGTGCCCAGGCAAAGGCTGGAGCCAGTCCTATTATCATCCGCCCCCGCCTGCTTGCAGTTCATTCAGAAATTCTTCTATTTGCTTTCGGTGCCTTGTGATGGTTGCAATATCTGTGTGTCGTGGGTCCTGCTAGATCACAGATGGGCCACTCCAATTGTTCCGTCCTAGCCGCAGTCGACCGTCCACGATATCTTCCATTTTCACACGAGTTATTTGTGCAGACTGGCTCATCTGGCTGATTTTGGTGTAATCGGCTGCAGAACCAGGACGCTCGAGCCTTGGGTCAATCTTCTCAGCACCACAATAGAGCATGGGTAGAATAGATGACTTCCACAAGCTGAGTCGGTGTTGTCGGTTCTTCATCACCGTCGTGATCCAGAAGACAATGCCAGCGACAAGAAGCACAGATGGGAAAGTCAGCCACTGCCAAGATACCTTGACGAAGGCCTGGGAGATCATGACTGTGCCGCTTGCGCTGGTGTTGCCGGTTTGCACAGTGTACTTGGTGAGAGCGGCAGCCATGTCCGACAGCAACGAACCAAGGCCGTAGTCTAAGACTCTGGTGAATGCAGCCGGGAAGTTGGCGCTGGTGTGCCAGCTTTTATCAGCTGACATGGCCCACGACGAGGTGCTAAAGTTGAAGTTGTACCATTCAGTCTTGTATCCCAAGAATGGACTATTCGAGTATAGATTATTGAGAGCAATATATCCGGTTTCAGGAGAATTTGGACCGATACTCCGGAGACAAAAGACAAATTGCTCGGTATCGGCCCAGTTCCCGTGGGAAGCTTGACAAAGTTGAACGGGCCGGGTCGATCAGTCGGCCTCCAGCAATCGATATCCTGATACCCGTATTCGATTTCATCGTCGACGGGAAGGTTATTGGTGAACCGTTCCCCGTAGTCAATAGATGTGACATTAATTTGTGGCGTCCCAGAAGTGACAGAAACATTATATGTCTTCAGGCACAAGGAAAGAACGCATTCTTGCACACTTTTAAGGCGAATCCCATGGACAAACTCCGTGATGTTTGTGATGGTTGCATTGGCAGATCCGGCTTCAAATTGGGCATGCGCGAAGGTAAAAATCGGGTAAGGAACACCCAAGGAGGACTCCACTCGGTCGGTAAGACCAAGAATCCATATGAGATCTGCGGGAATACTCATGCCGTCCTTTTTAGTATAATATCCAACCACAGCGGTGCCATTTGCGCCATTGCCGGAATTCACGGTGCAACTATGGTCTTTTTGGTCATCGGTGAGGTTTTCCTGATCGTCAACATCAGGCTCTGTCCATTGATTACACTTATAGATGGTGGCTAAGTCGGTCACATCCTGGCATTTACTGCAAAAACCCAGGGATTGGAATTCTGGCCAAGTACAGTTTCCAGACGGGCAAGTAGGATTCACTGCAAAATCCGTGTTCCAAAGAGCAGCGTTGTAGCTTTGTTCCAGGAAGGTGTAGTTCGTATTTGACGCAAAAGTTAGCGCCTGGGGCATCGTCGCTTGTGTCGAGCTGCCTGGAGTTTGTTGAACAGGGTAACTCAAAATCTGCTGTATAAATGGATCTAAAGCCATAGAAAGCACGGTAACAATAGCACCAAGGGAGGCAATCGAGAGCCCGCGGTGCTGAAAGAGGAGATACAAAGCACCTAGCGGCCCTCGGCTTGCATCATCGAAGGACTGCATGTCTAAGACGGGCCGTTCCCGATGTTGAATCCAGATCCATTTCAATTGACCTACCGCTGCCGCTACCACGAAAAGTAATGAGGATCGGGATGCTGTGGCTAGCAAAGAGACAATTGAGTTGAGTGTCAGCCCGTAAGATAAATTAGGGGACGGCTTTTGGTCGTAGGCTCTCAGAATAATGATGACTGCAATGAAGGATGCGAAACTGAACGCCATGGCGAGGCACTCGAGAAACCACGTATCATCAAGTGAAGCCCAGCCTCCGTGTTTGAAGGGAGATGGCGTCTTGGTATTGAATTTATCACGATCCGTCCTCGCAACGAGGGATCGTGATCGAAGATCATTGTGGTGATGGCGATCGCCGAAAACAGTTATTGTGTCTTGCGAATCCACTGGGGAGGATGCTCGGCTTTCGGTAGAGGCAACTTGAGGTCTTTGGTAGTAGGCGGCAGTCGTCGTATAATCCTTCCGACACTCCATATTTTCGGTCGTGGATGGAAACAGTTCAATCTTCTTCTGTTCGGGGCCGGTCTTATTATAAGTTCCACATTGGCAGCGCTAAGGGCTGCGGAGGGTCTTCACTTTCCAGTCTTACGTGGGAAACAACCAAATAAGGTGAGCCATCAAGCGCTTGTACGATAGTAAAACAGCCTAACACAGCATGACGCTCGCCAAAAGGACCCTGGCGCTTAGTAGTACTATTTTCACATCCATTTCGGCCAATTGAAGAAGAGGGAAAAGGGGGGCGGTTGGGCACGCTTCTTGGCCCCCAGCTAGACCCACAAGGCGGGCGCCAAAAGGATTCAGATAGGAGATGTGGTAAGTGACAGCATCACATTAGATTGTTGGGGCTTCATTATCATCGACGGAAAATACGAGGAGAGATATGTAACTGTTGAAGGAGTTATGGTAGGTGGATGCAGGTGGAGAAAATTACTCCGTATACTTATGCTCATGCCCCTTCCATGCTAGCGCCTAGTCTCTACCTACCAGGTACTAGTTAGTATTCACTAACTAATAACGAAGGGATAACTTAGGCATATGCTCTCAAAATTAGTACCCTGCACCTGTTCTATTTTATTCGTATTAGGTTGATCCGGTCTCACCAGAATATTAGGGTTCTAGTAGCTAACAATCTTGGAGTAGTTAGTAGTCTCTACTGCACCACAACGTTAAGAGATGGTAAATCTCATGCCGAGAATGGCTACATTCAACGCTAGTTTAAGCGTTCATTCAAACCAGTCTTGCTGTGTGTCTGCTTTGATGTCAGATATACTACATCCCAAGGCTGGTACGCCTACCAATACTCTTTAATCCTTTCTCAGCCCCCGATGCCAAGATAGTCTACTCGCTAGCATCAACCAATCTGGATTTGAGAGTCCGCGATGGTGGATACCGTGTCTTGGCCTCAGTCGCTTCCTTGAGCCTCCCCGCGGCACCCCAATTTCTTTTCGCTCTTACAACACATCGAAAATCCATCAAGGTCAACATGGGCTCATGGGATTATTACTGCGCTTTGTGCGGGTCTACCTTCCAAGGAGAGCGTTTTGTTTCCAGAAAACCACGCACAGCCCGGTACTTATGGCGAAAGCAACGCGAAGCTGACTTTGATGCATTGGTAGCTGCAGACCCCTTGAATGGCCGAATCGATTTTCGGAGGTTCAACGAAGAAACTGCTGCTGGTGAAGACAATCTTGATAACGAATCATTGTCTAGCCAAGATGAGGATGACACCTATGATTGCTCGATCATCTCCAAAGAGGATGCCACATGGTCCAATAATCTCCAATGCCTTGGCGTGAATAGTGATTATCCTTTTCGCAGCAATGCATTTCTTTCTGACATTGGCTGTGATGACGAATTCGGCGCTGTCTCTGCCGAACCAGGCAGCGATTCTAGCGCGCCCGACGATTTGGACGATTATAAGGCTTACGATCAGAACGAAAATTACCCACTCTTCCCTTTTCACCCCAAGTGCTTTCAGCTGCTCCAACAGACTGTCGCATTCCAGCGAGGTTTCCAAATAAAAGCCAAATCGCTACTCGATGGTGACTGGGAGTTGAACGTGCCCGGTGGTGATTTTGACAAGGATGTGCTGTACAGGGTCTTCCGCAATTTGCAGAGTGATGCACAGCTGGATATCTCATATGGAGAGCCAGAGCTACCTCACGATCAATACTGGCTTGCGAACCCGGGAGAGGAACTCTTCATTGCAGACCCTGGAAAGCGAAACCCCCATGCCATGAATGCGATTGATGATATGTGGCGTGAAATACACTCTCCCAAATCAGGACTTGAGCCGGACATTACAGGAATCTGTAACTTGAACTTGAAATTGATGGACGACCCGTTTGCACACTTCCCGCTCGAATTACTCCTGATTATCATCTCAGCACTCCAGCCTCGCTCGCTTTTAAACCTCATGCAAGCCTCGCCTCACATACGACGTGGATTGAGCCGTACCAGCTTCTCATATTGGAAACGGCGATTTGAGACAGATTTGCCATGGTTCTACGAAGTTCACTCTTTCTTACAGGGCATTCCCAGTCCAGCCAGCTTTGATGCTAGAGAGCTTCCTGGCAAGTCGCTCTCGCATTTCTTTGCATGGGCATACCATACTACCACCCCTCGGTGGGGATTACATGGCCCTTTCATGGGAATTGCCAATCGTCGACGGATTTGGGAAGCATGCAACCAACTCGTGGGTCCGTACTTGGCTTTGGTCAAACCCGAAGATAGAAACACAGAAGTGGAAGAAGACGGACAGTTCCACAGTGATAAAAGCTGAGTCGAGATGTCTGCGGTTGATTGACCCCATTGGACTGCTTCCACAACTGTTGCCAATCCTGGAGACTGATCGCACTTGAAGAACCGTCAAGTCACTATCGGTTCGTCAGGGTCGAATGAATAATATTGGAGAAATTTAATGTGGGGCCGTTTATATGGCAGTTACTCGACCCTTATTGCAGTTTCCAAGTTGGTATACATGATCCTAAGCACAAGTAACAACCACAATGACTAGTCAGAGAAAGTCCTACTCCTAAGTACACCAAGAACCTAAACTACCAATAGAGGACTCAACACCATATTGTGTATACTATCCCCGTTCAAGTTTTGAAAACGACAAGTGACTGTGAATTGTAGATGGACCGTACTAGTTATGTCTCAGTCTTTTCGCCTGTTTTTTGGGGCTTGCCCTGGCAAGCCCCGCCGATCGTTCATATTTTAGCAACTATTGATTTCTGGGATGATCCTTTTGGGGCTGAGCAGCCCAGCATCAGACTAAGCCCAAACATCAATTCCCATATATGTTGACAAATACGATAGCAGGTACTCCGTATGAAGTGGTGACTTCAAATATCGCAAATGCGTTTCAAATATAGCGCGAATGATGGAGCGTCGCGAATGCGACCCGTCTTAAGGTTGCGGGTGCAAGCAGTCCCACCCTTACGAGCCTCGACAGCTATGGCAAGTCAGTGGCGAGCTGAGAACTTGAAGGTGGCTGTGAAACAGGGGGATCCGGAGCTAGAATTTCTGGAGGCCCCCAGATTCTTTCACGGTGTACTCCGTACCTTAATAGCCATTTACGAGCTACAAAGTCAATCAATAGTTCAGCCAGGAAAACTTAAATTTAGATCAGACTAAGCTAAGGCTGTCATTTGACACAAGTCTTAAAAGAATATCCGTTTCCAATTTGCTAAAGATAGATACGGGAGATATTTGGATTTTCTTTTCCCTTTCACTTTTTCGTTCAAAGGCATAGTCTCGTAGAAATCATCAGTGCCAGCGCATATCAAGAAAAGGCATCTCAAGAGATCAGCCTAGTCATGATTGGATTGTCAAGATGCGCATCGAGTTCTGGATAGGCACGGCGTTGGGGTTATTGGTTGGATGGGGCCATCATGGTAGTATTGTCACAGGACTCCGAAGAGAAGCAGATTCTATGAACAGGCAAAGGTGAAAAAAACGATGCAGCCCACTGGGGGCGCAAAATGGTGTAGAAAAATGGAAGCTATCCAAAAACGAATGGAAGATAAAAAGAAAACTGAAACAGTTGGAGGGGGGCCGAGAATCGACGCGCGATTCACGGAACGAAGAGAAAGATAAGAATAAGTCAATAAATCGAGCCAGCGATACAATCTACCAGAGATTTTCCCATGTTCAGAGTGAAGCGATCGACGAGACACTTTAGTTGTTGATGGACCAGGTGACCTTGTCGAGACGGCCCGCGGAGAGATTGGCGAGTTCGCCGAAGAGCTTGCGGGACAGATCAATGGAACCGTCGTCACAGCCCATGCACTGTCAACGACCGTGCCGGTCGTTGTGGTACCGAGGTACGAGATGGTGACGGTCTTGCCACAGTCGCTATCGGTCATGAGACCAACGGGCAGGGCAAGGACGGCCTCGGTCTCACCATCGTTGGTAGTGCCGCAAGAGCTGGGGTTGCTGGCGAGGGTAGCGGTGTCGTAATAGGTCGCCTGGCCACTGTGCGTGGCGCCAGAGCTGGAGCTGGTACCGGTGGAGCTGGTGTCGGTGGAGCGCTGAGCGGTCTGAACGGCAGCGGCAGCAGTGGTGGTGGTTGAAGAGGAGGACGAAGAAGAAGACTCGACGGCGGGAGCGGCAGCAGCGTTCTGGGCCTGGACAGTGGCCTTCTCGGTGGGCTGAGCGACAGGGGCAGGGGCCTCAGTGGTGGAGGTGGTCGGGGCAGCCTTAGCCTCCTCCTCGACAGGAGCGGCGGAGGAGGTAGTCTCAACGGCAGCAACCGGGGTGGTCACAGCGACGACAGTCGCGGTGGCAGTGGGCTTACCCTGGTTCGGGTAGATGGTGGTGGTGACATCGACAGTAGTCCAGACAACGTCGGTGACAGTCTCCCAAACAACAGCGCGCTTCTCGACGGGAGCAGCGATACCGGTGAGGGCAAAGAGGGCGCCAGCAAGGGCGAGAGTCTTGGTGATGGGAGCCATTGTAAAAGAAGGCGGATTCTTTCAGAGAATGTCGAGGGTTGGTTTATGTGTTTGTGTGGAGGGTGATTTTTGCTTAAAGACAGGTCACTGCACAGCAGTTTAGGATTGAACGACTCAAAGGAGTGTGAGATCGAACAAGACGGCGAAGGAGGGAACCGTTTTGGAAAGTGGTGATGGAGATGGGAGGAGGAGAGGAGGAGAGGAGGTTGAGGGAAAGGGGGAGGTGGTGGACTAAATATTCACTACGCAGCACTACCAGTGGTACCCACTGACTACTCTCCACTTCTTCCTCTCAACTACCCACGGTTTGATCCAAGCCACTTCTACTTCCCCTTCTACTCCACTGAGTATTCCGAGGCATTGGGTTACGAGATTTCTTCCTCAAAGGATACGAGTAAGTACCTTTCTTTGATTCTCGATCCTAGCCTAGTCCGCGTACCTGACCCGGAGGCCCCGGGACGATGGTCAGGAACATTGCTGATTGGGACAATAGAGTTGCGCCAACGGAGAGTAGCGCAGGGGCAGAGGCCAATTGACCTTCGTTTCCAGTGCTGCCCATTCACAGACCCCAGTGGAGCCTAGCTGGACCGGCTGAAGGAGCCGAAGCCAACGGTAACGACCATACTAGTCATGGTCTTAGCCATGTGCCAACCAATTTTGAATACATACACCCTTTCTCTCCCATGAGAACGACCAGATAAAACACTCTCGTCACCCATTGTCCGACCAATTTCTATTCAGGCACATCTTTGCAACCGGCCCAATTTCCCTGACCACCTTGCGAACAGCGCACCGCCTTACCTGTCTTCTGCAGGCCCTGTGCGGGTCCCTGCGCCCAATCGGGCCTAATCGAATGAGACACGATCTCATCCTGTTCACAGCGAATGCCACTCGTTCGTTTCTGCAGCTGCAACGGAGCAATGCCGACGCTCATCCCGGCTGTCTACTCGTAAAGTGGCCGGTCCCCAATTAAATGGAATGACGTTGCGGAGTTCAACGTTCTGGACCTGTTCCCCTCTCGTCCCATTCTTTTCTCTTTCACCGAGCCGAGCAATTTTTTTGTTCGGTGGGTCCGTGGCTTAGAGTGGCGATCGTCCACATGAAACCCCAGGTCAGATTCTGGCCCTGACAAAGACACTGACGCAGTCAGGTCAGGGCGCGATAGGTACAGCCAAAAGGGGGCACAAGATGGGAGTGAAGAAAATGGATGCTCCTCATCCTCTCCTCTTCCAAATTGCATCTGCTGTGATCTCCGACCTGTCGTCCTAGCCATTTCCCACCACACCTTTCACAGGACCCAGTTGCTTTCGCTTTCGATCGTGGCGTCCGACATGAAACGCACCCGATCGCCAAAGCACAATTCTAGACCCAACCGAACAGGAGCCACCAGGACCCCTCCCGAGCCAATCCCAGCCCCGGTTCGCCTTGGGTGCAACCCTGTCGGGAGTGCTGGTTGGCATCCCCTTTTTTTTTCGTGCGGTGGAGTCCCCTTCCGTAGAAGGGAAGACTTCTCCGCCAGTTAATTTCACTCCACTCATCCGACGATCACCCCGGAATAAGAGTGTGCGACCATGGTTGACAGCGGCACAAAGATGGCCCTCCTTGCCCTGAATTAGAGGGGATGGAGTAGAGCGGGAGGACAAGTAGAGAGGAGCAAATATGTACGCAGTCCTCCGTACTCCGTATGTACTCCGTATGTACTCCGTCTGTCTAGAACAGTGAGGTGTGGCAGGGTGGGGTTCTGGAACGCCATCGGAGGAATTTAGGAATGTCAGATCACACCGAGGACTGAGCCAGACAGTACAAGTGGAATGCGGGTGAGAGATGATCGGAATGCGACAATCCACCTGGGCATCTCATCTCCGAGGCGTTAACTGTCACTGTCGCAGATCTCAAACGTGTTTGAGATATGCTAACCTGTGAATAGGCTCACTCTTAGATTGTATGGAGAAGTCTACACTTTGAACAAAGGTAAAAGTAAAAGCGATCACTAAGAATGAGAAGCACTAACTCCAGACCCATCACATAAAGAGAATACATAGAAACAACCACAATACCACCCTCGATGCATATCCAAAGTCTAGATCCAACAAGATGCATACACCAAGAAAACGCCCAACCCCAACCAATGCCTCCAAAAAATCCCTCAATGGCCGCCGCAAAAGGAAACTCCAAAGAACTTGATTTCGAAACCCTGGAGCAGAATGGAAAAAAGAGCCCCGCGTGGCAAGTCGACAACCGCAAAAAGAAAGAGACCCCCCCCACCACGTTGCAATCCTGGCAAACCTACCAACTCCAAAGGAACACCCTCTCCACGAAGAACCAAACTTGATTTTCTTCTGGAAGAACAGGAAGAAATGATTTTTATGGGTTGTCAAAAATGGCTCGGTCAATGAGGGCGAAGATGTTGCGCCATTTACGTATTGCCTCCATTCAACTGAGTTTTTCCTTTTTATCCGGACTTTTGTTGGATGTGTCAGCGCCGGAATTGGATACGAATCCGTTGGGGCATATTGAGGGAGGATTTGGATATACTCGTAATACTTATAGTAGAGGGAGAGCTATGATACATTCGAGGGAAATATATGCAGGTGCTGAGAAAATGAGCAGTTGTTCCAGTAGTCAACTTAATTATATCTGGTACTAAGCAACTGGCTTGCCGTGATTCACAGGGAAACGTATGGTAGAGAACACTTTTCAGTTGATTCATACTACAAAAGACAGGAATTGCACTCCAGGGCTGCATGACTAGAATTTCGCAACCCTTGCAATATACGAGATCGTACTTCTAAGCTTTAACTCCCAACCTGGCCAACAATCGCTACTATATGGACTATAGCTCATCCAAGATATCATCTTACTAGGAGCTTGAGACACTTCAATGCTAACCAAATTGAGAATATAGGGCTGGCTCCCTGGGCACTCTGATCATTTCTCGGGCCTCAAATGAAGAGCAAGCTATATCCAAAAGCATGAGCAAATTCACAAAAAATATACGAAAATGATGAAGGCTTAAAACCCTTGCAAGGGTTCAAACCTTATAGACACTCCTCGCCCCCATATATCTGGATTCCAACAGCCCATTCATCCGAAGCTCAAAATGATAGCAATGGTAGCAACAATCACGACAATACCTACTAGTATGAGAGCAAAGGTCGCAGGTAATATAGGTTTAGTCGTTCCATATGATATCTATTACTTTGATGGCCTTAGTAAATACTACTACTATGGGGAGCTTGAAAGAGAGGTGGGTGTAGTAGTAGTAGTAGTAGTAGTAGTAGTAGTAGTAGTAGTAGTAGTAGTAGTATAGATCCACGGTGGCTGGCCTGCGGGAAGATACAGGTGAGGTCACGCCCGCGGTCACTGCGAGGACCGCACCAATCTTGGAACTCCCTCTTTTACTTCTACTTCTACTTCTACTTGTCATCGCGTATCATTTCTCACCCACAATCTTTCAAAGAGTGCATAGACGCCTGCGCTAGTTACATACCCTGCCATAGCGTTGACTATCACGCCAATAGCCAGAAATGTTATTTCAGCAACCACCATGGAGCACCAACTATTGCTGCTGCAGGTTTCCAAAGTGCTTACTCACTAGGCTGCGCCAGAGCATGTGATAACTCAAATTGTTGTGGCTCTTCTGGTTGCTCCTCTGGTGGTGCCGGTCCTTCTCCTAACGGCGGTGGTGGCCCTCCTAACGGTGGTGATCCTTCCAATGTTCCGAGTTCCCTTGGCAGCCGGTGGCTCCTGGTCAATGCCCCCCAGATGATGGTCAGCGGCGCACGGTCGACGGAGTCACTTATACTGTTTTTTGCAAGAAAGCGATCTCCACTGGTGACCTTAAGACGCCTAGCGGCCAGACTGAAGAGTCCTGCGTCAAAGCATGCTCGGCCGCGTCTAACTGCCAGGGTGCGAACTTCAACACTTCCTCCAAGGAATGTGAATTACACAGAACTTGGAAGGCTCAGCCCACCTACACAGGCAACGCTGCTTATTGGATTGCATACATCCCTATCCGCCAGCGCTAAGCCGGTAGAAAAACGAATTGTGGATACGAATCCCATGACTGGCTGGTTGGCTGAGCTATCTGAAGACAAATCGCTGTCATATTTCTTCGGGATTTTGAGATCATAAAGTTTCAAGTTGTTTTACCGTTTGAAAACTGTTTGAAAATCATTTATAATATATAAACATTTCAAACCTATAACCATTTGTACCGAAACTCTAAGCGGTCACTGTCCTTTTTATATAACTATAGCATTAAAACTTTTGGTTAGATTAGGGTTTTCTAATGGTTGTCAAAATACCGGTTTTCCAGCTAAGCTAGTCATAGATTATTTATTGTTAGCCATCATTCATACTGTCACTTGGAGGATGCATGTATATATTTGATTAATTTTTCTTACAAGAAATGTTCCGCGACGACACATGGCGGCTAAGACATCAGATTGAGGACTGATGATCGCCCGATGGACCTGATGGTTGTGGAGCCGCAAGAAATGGTGATATCGGAGTACTCATTTGAGGTTGAGATTCGCTTCAATAGCAGGCGAACATCGTCATCGGTAGTAGACATACTGACTGGTACTGAGCTTGAAACCCTTGGGAAATGTGTGAGGTTGTGGGTGAGGATATAAAGAGTAGTTGGTGCCGTAGCCTCAGGCCTCCAGGCTCCACCCAGCACAATTTGTACAAGAGCCTAATGCTACAAATCTTTCAGCGAATCATGCGAAGGTCAAGTTCTTCACTATATCTCTCGATGCTGGGAAGGTCAATTTCGAGAATGACTATACTATACTTCTACTACACAGAACAGTCTTAGCATGAACATCATTGACTAGAAAACTAACAAAGGAAATGCAAAACAAATGAAACCGCGCCAGATCCAGAGCAGAAAAAAAGACAAGAAAACCATAAAGCTCATCATATAGGTACATCAATCACACATTGGGCAAATTGTAGAGGTGTGCCAAAGGGGTTGGGGGAGGGGAAGGGGAATGGGAATTGAGGAAGTGCATGGGAAATCGTAGAAATTTTGTTGGTAGGCCAGACCAGAGCTATTTAGCCCTGGCACATGATGCAAGCATCCTTGTTCTCGATGCTGCACTGCAGGACGGCATCGGAGTAGATGTCACCCTCAGTCTTCTCAGTCTCCTCGGTTTCCTCGGTGGCCTCGCCGCTAGTCTCAGTGGCAGTAGAGGCGGGGATAGTGACGGGGACAACAGGGTCCGCAACCAGAGTGCGAGGGCTTTCCTGAGGGGCGGCGGCGGCGACGGCGGCGGGCTCAGCACGGGGAACGGCGGAGTAGCCGGAGGAAGCGGCGCCACGCTTCTTGTACGCAGTGTTGGCACGGGCAACGTTGGTATCCTCAACCTTCAGCTGCTCCTGATCGACGGTGAACTGGATGGGAGCGGAGGCGGCCATGGTACGAAGGTAGTACATGCCGGTCTTCAGACCCATCTTCCACCCAGCGAAGTGCATGGAGGTAAGCTTACCCATAGTGGGCTCCTTCAGGTGGATGTTCAGCGACTGGGACTGATCGATGTATGCACCACGGTCGGCAGCCATCTGCAGGATGCTACGCTGAGAAATCTCCCAGACGGTCTTGTACAAGGCCTTGATGTCGGCGGGGATGTTGGGGATGTTCTGGACCGAACCGCCATCAGCAATGATACGGTTCTTCATGTTGTCGGACCACAGGCCAAGATCGACCAGGTCCTTCAGCAGCCAGGGGTTGACAATCTGGAATTCACCAGCAAGGACACGGCGAGAGTAGATGTTGGAGGTGTAGGGCTCGAAGCACTCGTTGAAGCCCAGAATCTGACTGGTGGAGGCAGTGGGCATGGGAGCGACCAGCAGACTGTTGCGAACACCATGCTCGGCGATGGTCGCCTTCAGGGAAGCCCAGTCCCAAAGGTCAGTAGGGGTACGGTCCCACATGTCGTACTGCAAGATACCCTGCGAGACGGGGGAGCCAGGGTAGGTCTCGTAAGTACCGAGCTCCTTGGCAATGGCAGCGGAGGCAGTCAGAGCACCGTGGTAGATGGTCTCGAAGATCTGAATGTTCAGCTGTTTAGCCTCGGGGGAATCGAAGGGCAGACGCAGAGCCAGGAAGGCATCGGCCAGACCGTTGACACCAAGAGCGATGGGACGGTGACGGAAGTTGCTCTTCTTGGCCTCGGGAACGGGGTAGTAGTTGATGTCAATGATCTTGTTCAGGTTGCGAACCAGGACCTGGACGACCTCGTGCAGCTTGCCGAAGTCATACTCGCCACGAGCAGCATCAACGAAGGTGGGGAGAGCAAGAGAGGCCAAGTTGCAAACAGCGACCTCATCGGGAGCACTGTACTCGATGATCTCAGTGCACAGGTTGGAGCTGCGGATGGTTCCCAGGTTCTTCTGGTTGCTCTTCTTGTTGCAAGCATCCTTGTACAGCATGAAGGGGTTACCAGTCTCGGTCTGAGCCTCAAGAATGGCATACCACAGCTTCTGGGCTTTGATGGTGGCACGGCCACGGCCCTCCTTCTCGTACCGCTCATAGAGAGCCTCGAATTCGTCACCGTAGACATCAGACATGCCAGGGGCCTCGTTAGGGCAGAACAGAGTCCAGTCACCATTGGCCTCAACTCGCTTCATGAACAGATCGGGGGTCCACAGAGCATAGAACAGATCACGGGCACGGACTTCCTCCTTACCGTGATTCTTGCGGAGGTCAAGGAACTCGAAGACATCGGCGTGCCACGGCTCAAGGTAGATGGCAAAGGCACCAGGGCGCTTGTTACCACCCTGGTCGACGTAGCGGGCAGTGTTGTTGTACACGCGGAGCATGGGGACAATACCGTTGGAAGAACCGTTAGTACCTCCAATGTAAGAACCGGTGGCACGAATGCGGTGAACGTTCAGACCAATACCACCAGCAGTCTTGGAGATCATGGCACAAGTCTTGAGAGTGTCATAGATACCCTCAATGCTGTCCTCCTTCATATCAACCAGGAAGCAAGAAGCTAGCTGAGGCTGGGGGGTACCAGCGTTGAACAGGGTAGGAGAGGCGTGAGTGAAGTACTTTTGGGACATGAGGTGATAGGTCTCAATGGCCTTCTCAATATCCTCGCCGTGAATACCAACAGCAACACGCATCAGCAGGTGCTGAGGACGCTCGGCAACTTTGCCGTCAATGCGGAGCAGATATGAGCGCTCCAGGGTCTTGAAGCCGAAGAAGTTGTAGTTGAAGTCACGGTCGTACACAATGGCGGAGTTCAACTCATCGGCGTGCTTTGTCACGATCTCATAGATATATTTGGAGATCATGGGAGCGGGCTTGTGGTTCTTGGGGTTGACATAGTGGAAGAGGTCGGAGATGACCATGGAGAATTGCTTCTTGGTCTGCTTGTGGAGGTTGGATACAGCAATACGAGCGGCCAGGATGGCATAGTCGGGGTGTGTAACGGTCATGTATGCGGCAGTCTCGGCGGCCTATTATACCAGGTGATAGGTTAGCACTTGGTCTCGAGAAGCTTTCACTTGGTCCCGCATACCAGGTTGTCCAGCTCAATGGTTCCAACACCCTGGTAGACACCAGAGATAACCTTCTGGGTGATTGCAGCAGCATCAACGTGCTCTGGGTCGAGGCCATAACACAGCCTGGAGACACGGGCAGTGATCTTGTCGAACTGCACGCGTTCTTTGCGTCCGTCTGTGACATCACACGTCAGTACTGATTCGGAAGGTGGTGGCAATGCCAGTTATTGCTCGCTCGAGGCAGCCGGATCAGATAGAGACGCGGGGAACGCGTTCACTGCCTTGGACTGCAGCTCGAGGAGGGGGTCACTTACCTCGCTTGTAAACGAACATCTTGAAAGAGAGCAAGGGGTGCGAGGGGGGTAGAAGATTAGGATAGGATGAGGGGGGGGGGGTATCAGAGAAGAAGAGAGAAGTGTGTATTAAAGTAATGGAAAGTAGAGAGGGGAGGTGAGGAAGGGAGAGAAGGGATAAGAGTGGAAGTGAAGAATAAAGAGTCGAGGGAAGAAGATAGGAGGGGCGGAGAATTATTTGGAAGGAGCGACGCGTTTTCTGCAGGCGAATTTTCGTGTTTGGCTGGTTCGCTCTTGCCGCGCTGAGTGGCGCTGAGTAATTAAAATTGCCCACTTTCCGCGTGGGTCACGTGAACACGCGCCTCTCCGTCCTTCGGAGGTCAACAAAGAAAGTACTCCATAGTAACTAATGGAGCAATGACCAGCCTGGGATGCTTCGGGTGACCTGGAACCGGGCGGGGATACACATTCCGGGCTCAGACGATCGAGTAAGCCGAGTGGCTCGGACTACATCTATGGGCCCAATGGATCTTCCGTTGTCATAGAAATCCAGGCTACACCCCCTATCACTGACTCACCATCCTCCTTGCTGCCTGCAGATATGACCCAGTTAAGTTACCTACTTATGTTGCCTACACGACGCGGGTCACTGGAGATCTTCAAAAGAAGTACGAGTATCAAGGGATATCATTTCAACACCAAAGCAATTGGGTCTTTGCCTTTCTAATATGACAAGCGGTGTGGAGTATATCATGTGCAAACAATGCAGCCGAACTATTCAATATCACCTCTCCAAGATGCAGTGCAGTCAGTGCAGTGCAGTGGAAGTGGCAAAAGAGAACAACCGAGAAGCAAGAATATCAAAGCCAGATTAATCAATCAATACATCTGAGGACTACATCGCGGAACTTTACAGCAATGCAGCAGCGCCCATGAAGACAGCCGCACCGATCGCAGTGATCGAGAGCTGGACGCTGGGAGCAGCAGCACCGGTGTAGGTCGAAGTAGAAGCGGAGGCAGTACCGGTACCAGTCTTGGAGGATCCGCTGGTGGACGAGCCGGTGCCGGTGGCCTCAGAGCCGGAGGAGGTAGCGGTGACGAAACCAGAGCTAGTAGCAGTGGAGGTGCTGGAGCCGGTGGTGGTAGTGGAATCGGACTTGGAAGAAGAGAGTTCTGTACAAAGTAGACGGATAACATTAGCCAAAGAATGCGCCAATCAGAGAACCTCGTGGGGTGAGGAATTCCATGATTCGGGTCAATCCTTACCAACTGTGTGGCCGTTGGCCTTGCAGGTGCTGGCGTAGAACTTCAGGGCCTTGTCGGACTTGTCGCCGCAGGAATCGGAGATGCTGGACTGGATCTTCTTGGAGTCATCGCCGCAGATGCTGGACAGGTCGGCTGGATCGGCGGTGTTGCTGGAAGGGGGTGGTTAGTTTCGCGGTCGGCGAATTCAGGCACATTGAAGAACGACTCACCCAATGACGGACAGAAGGCAGGCGGGGGTCTGGTCGGCAGAGACGAAGCTGGCGAGGGCAACAAAGGCCAGGGCGAGAGTAGACTTCTTGAAGAACATGTTGACGGAATTGATGGAAACAAACGAATTGACGAGAGTTGGATTGATTAAGACGAGATCGCACAGCGAATCGGGGAGTCTTGAGAGTAGTAGTATTGGTTGGAGTAAAGATCGTGGGGTGCAAAAGAGCGACAAGGTACGGCGAAAGGAGTGCGCGCGTAACGTAGAGGACAAAGAGTGACGAAGGGGAGCAAGTGAAGTCGAAGTCGAAGTGAGATCTCAGGGCTCAGGGAAAGCAAACCAGGGACCAAAGACAGCCCCAGGGGGACCACCGGTATGGGACTGTATGATACTTGATATCCTCCGCTTGGGAGCATATCGGGTCATAGAATATCCCTGTAATACAGATACACTGTATTCTGCAACCCCACGCTGGGTCTCACTTGCACCTATAAAGGGTTTAGCGTCAGGGACCCCCTAAGCCAAACGAACTTAGTACTAGTAGTGTGTGTTACATTGAGATGATACAAGTACATATAAGATGGTCGACAATAAATTGAAGTTATTGAACTTGATAATGGACCTACTTACTGATGTTGAAATAGGAATAAATTGTTCCCGAGGTCTATTCCAAGGTTGTCATAGGCAGAACCAAGGAACCGAGACGTAAACAATGTCTCGGTTTGGCCTCGGGAAAATAATTCCTTTGGTCTAATGGTATTTTAAACCTTGAAAAATATAAAATTCGTCAGTCGGAATATATACATATCTAGGGAAAGCTTGATTGAAGTATTTCGTACTATATTACCATGGTACTAGGTAGCCAAAACAATTAACAAATAAGGGCCTTGATGGGATCGATCGCTTTGAGTGATATCGTGAAAGCTCTTGGAGTCTTTCAAGACAACTCCATTCAATAGCCAATTAGTGATGTTGCAAAGTTTTCAACCTGCATCCAGAAAAATTCAATGGGACACGTTGAGATGTCCTCGTCTAGTGTCTAGTCACATGTATGCATGCGATATTCGTGGCTGAGCTTTACAGGGCTAAAAATGAGGGGCCGAAAAGCAATAAATACGAGCGTCGAGACCGACGAACATCAAATCTCATCCTCGGCAAGGTCGTCATCTAATTCATCCATATTTGTGAGTTGAAGATTTCCGACTACAGCCGAAAGGGTATTTCCGAGCCTCGATATGAGTGACCCACTCTCCATTGCAGCCAGTCCTGCAGGCCTGCTTTCACTCGGCATCCAGGTCTCGGAGTCATTCCTCAAGTTTTATGTCGCCTATAAAAATCAGGATGATAACATCACTCGAGTATCGAAGAAGCTGGAGAACCTTCTTGCCGTCTTTCGATCGCTCCAAGCTACCCTGGAGGCCCGCGAGTTTCATCCCGGAGAGGAAAAGCTCGTTCAGAGTATCGAGGATTCCATCAACGACTGTAAGGAGATTATTCAAGAGTCTGAAGATGAAAGCAAGAAGTATGTCAAAGCTCCGGATATTGGAGCTCGAGACAAAATCAAGACTGCTACTCGCCGTGTGGCCTACCCATTTCGGGTCAGCACTTTGAACAAGCTCGAGGAAGATACTCGTGATATTCAAGTCAATCTGGGATTTGCATTGATGGTTCTCAACCAAGGTGATCAGAGGGCCATTCATGATGATTTGATCGATGTCAAGTCACTGCTCGAAAGCTTGCAGGAAATCCAAGTTTCCTCGGCTATACGCAGTTGGTTGGATGCGCCAGACGCTACGGTCAATCACAATAGCATATGTGCAAAACGTCGGGCAGAGACTGGGATTTGGTTCATTGATGGAAAGCATTATCATGAATGGTTGGACTGGGACAACTCATTTCTGTGGTTGAATGGGTTCGCGGGATGCGGCAAGTCGGTCTTGTGCTCAACAGTCATCCAGCATACATTCCTACAGAAAATACTCAAGGCCGACGTTGGAATTGCCTTTTTCTACTTCACTTTCAGTGACCAATTCAAGCAGGATGAATCAGCCATGGCGAAGTCTCTTCTGTTGCAGCTGGCAGGACAGCGGAAAGAATGCGAGGATGACCTTACTGTTCTTTATAGGTCGCACCAGACAGGAACACCTCACATCAATGCTCTTTTAACATCCCTGCAGAAAATGATTCAAAGGTTTAGTAATACATCCTGCTAGATACACTAGATGAATGCACCCGGTATGAGAAGCGAGAGGGTGTCTTAGCTACTCTGCAAAACTTCCGGCAGTGGAACTTGCCGGGCTTGCATCTGTTGGTTACCAGCCGTGATGAGCTGGACATTCGGCAGGGATTATGTCCATCGGTGACAGATGACATCGTTCTAAAAATGAGGAAATCGATGAAGACATCCGAAACTACATTTCCCACGAGCTGGAAACCAATCAAAGTCTTCGAAAATGGCAAGCACACAGCGATGAAATCCAAGCTGCCCTAACAGGACGTGCTCAAGGAGTACAAGTATTACCGTGAAACCTTCATGATGGAACTGAACTAATGCGTCAACTAGATTCCGCTACGTGGAATGCCAGTTTAAAGCGCTGCAGCAGTGTCCCGGAACCAAGATTCATCTTCGAAAATGTCTACAATCATTACCTCGAAGCCTAGACGAGACCTATGAGCGAATGCTTTGCAGCATTGATGAAGGCTGCCTCGACGACGCACGCCGCATTTTGACATTGCTATGCTTTTCACTTGTGCCGCTCACCATGTCAAAGCTGCTCCATGCACACGCAGTAGACCTCGAGAATAATAAACTTGACATTGAGGACCGAATCCTGGATGCTGAAGGTGTTAAAGAAATTTGTATTGGTCTGATTGAGGTTGTGCCGCATGAAGATCACCATGAAGTTCGAATTGCTCATTTTTCAGTGCAAGAAGATCTAGTGTCCGACCGCATCAAGACACAGGGTGCAAAATACCTTGCATTAGAGAGCGCCTCTGCGCATGATGTCACAGGGCAGATCCGTCTCGTGTACCTTACAGATCCAGGACCATCTTCGCTTCAAACGAAAGAGAACATTGTGACGACTTTCCCTCTAACAAAATACGCTGCAGAATTCTGGCATGGGCATTACAACAAGGGAAGAAGATCCATCCTCGAATCAAAAATTTTTATTTTGAAGATTTTGACTGAGGAAGGGGCATTCATGACCTGGAGAATGTTTCGTGAACGCAAAAGTAGGCGTCAGTCGGAGCCAGAATTCGACCTCGTCGTAATCCAACTACACTACTGCGCCCTATTTGGGTTTGAATGGGCCATCGACCATATCTTGAATACCGGAATAAGACTCGGATACAGCATAAAAGACATTTTAAACGATCATGGCTTAGCACGTTTTGATGCCCTGCAAGCTGCAGCCTCTTGTGGTCATCATACTGTGGTCCAATTTCTACTAAACAAGGGTGCTGATGTCCTTATCCAGCGTCAAAGCTATGATTATGCTTTGCAGGGCGCATCAAGACGAGGCCATCATAATGTGGTGCAGGTGCTACTAGTCAATGGCGCCAACGTCACTATTGGCAGTGAAAGCTATTGTAATGCTCTACATTCCGCATCAAGACGTGGCCACCGTTCAGTGGTGCAGCTATTACTGGATAATGGCGCCGATGTCAATGCTCGGGGTGAACAATATGGCACTGCTCTCCGGGCTGCATCAGCTCATGGGCATTACTCAGTGGTACAATTATTACTAGACCACCACGCTGATGTCAATGCTCAGGACGGAATAAATGGCAATGCTCTACAGGATGCATCGATTCAAAAAGATCCTTCGGTGGTACAGCTGCTGCTAGAGCGGGGTGCCGATGTGAATATCCAAGGCGGATGCTATGGCACTACTCTACAGGCTGCGTCAATTCAAGAGAATTTTCCCGTGGTAGAGCTATTGCTGGACCAGGGCGCTGATGTCAATGCTCAAGGCGGTTATTATGGGACTGCTCTACAGGCAGCATCAATTCAAGAAGATTCTTCGGTAGTACGGTTACTGCTCGACCGGGGTGCTGATGTGAATATCCAATGTGGATATTATGGCACTGCTCTACAGGCTGCATCAACTCTAGAGAATGTTTCAATGGTGCAGTTGTTGTTAGACCGTGGCGCTGATGTGAATTCCACCAGCAGTGGAAAGTATGGCACTGCTCTACAGGCTGCATCATGTTGGGGGCACACTTCGGTGATGCAGTTACAGCTTGGCAGGGGCGCTGATGTAAATGCCCCCAGTAGTGGAAAGTATGGCACTGCTCTTCTGGCTGGATCACGTTGGGGGCACACTTCAGTGGTTCGATTACTGCTAGACCGGGGCGCTGATGCGAATCCCTCAAGCAGTGGAGAATATGGCACTCCCCTACAGGCTGCATTGCAAAGGGGACACATGAGCGTGGTGCAAGTTCTGCGTGATGCAGGGGCAGTTTGAAAGTGCTCCAGGGCTATCATATTAATATATCTGAAGGACATTGCTGGTTGCTACTAGTACTTCCAGCCCTGGAGGGTTGGTCAAAAATATAAGAAGTATAAGGCAAAGAAATCTACATTCTATAGCCACTTTCATTCAAAGTTGGAGTCGTAACTTGAACTTGAATGCGGACATCAACTTACTAGTACTATATTCCCGACTTCTCCTCTGCGTTATGACTTCGAGCCAATCTAGATTCAAGCAAGTATAACTTCATTCTCAATAATCGTATTCGATATTTCGTCTAAACAGTCACGGAAAGCGCTAACAAAATGCTACTCAGTCTCAAAAGTCTCACACACCCATCAATCGATTTATATCTATGACTTCTCCCAACCAGGATCATAAATGCTAGAAACGATCTCCTGAACAGGTAACCTATTTTCCAAAATCTCCGCCCCATTAATCAAATCATTCTCCGCAACCCTCTTCTCCGCCTCGGCCTTATCCTTCGCAATCCCAGCCTTAACATGCCTCCTAACCAACCTCCCCCTCGCAACCTCAAAATCAACATCAACAAACCAAAGCTCGTCCATTAACCCCGCAGCCGTACTCCAAGGCACTTTATCAAGACTCAAATAGTTCCCCTCGAAAAAGACCACCCGGCAACTCGCCGGAATCTCAATATCATCATCCAAGGGATCCTTAACCGCATGGTCGAAACTAGGCGCGTAAATACTCTTCGAGTCCGCCGTAAGTGGCTTCCGCAGGTCTTGAACCAGAGTGAGGAATTTCTCGCCGTCGAATGTAAATGCCGCGCCGCGCCGGGCGAAGGCATGTGTTGGGTCGGGCATGGCTGATAGCTGTGCGCGCGTGAGGTGGTAGCCATCCATTGGGAGGGATGTTGCGATAGGTTGGATGTGGTTGGAGGAGGGGTTTTCGGAGGCGTAGATTTCGTTTATGCGGTTCGTCATCATTGTTGCTAGGGCTGTTTTGCCTGAGCCTGGGATTCCGCTTACAGCTATCATTAGGCGGGTGTCTTGGGGGAGGGTTGTGAATTTTGCTGTGGGGTTGCCAGTGGTTAGCTTAAGCTTTGAAAATAGGTGGTTGTGTGTGTATGTGGATGTATGTGTGTGTCATATATAAGGAAGGGTATTGGGAAATGTGGTTGTTTGGTATGTCTTTTCTGCGGGCTGCTGGGTGTACATCATGTGGAGTGTTCTGCCTGGACGTACCCCATGTCTTCTTGACCAGGTGGTCCACCTGGCTGTTCATGATTGTAGACGTGATTTTGTATGTGAGGCCGGCGGCCGAGGAGGAGTAAAAGGAGGTAGCGGTGGTGGGCTTGTAGAATTGCGAGTGTTAGGACTTAGACTCGGCGGGATTCTGATGACTGGTGTGACTGGTGTGACTGGTGTGACTGGTGTGACTCGTGTCGCGTGATGTTGGCAATGCAAGGCTCTAGAGTTGGCGAATGCAATTGGAGGTGGGAAAGGCAGGGGTATGTAGGTTGGGAGGAAAGAGAAAGAGAAAAGAGAAGAGAAAAGGATTGGAGACTCGGAGTTCTCCCCAAAGCGATACCGATGCGATAACAAATTGGCGGGGCAGCTGCGATTGACTCCGGCGGGGACGGAGACGGGGACTGCAGTGCTCCGAAGGGAAGTGCCAGTGCCAGTGCCAGTGCCACTTCGACGTCGCTTAGATAACTAGTAGTAGTACTACTACTACTACTGCAGGATCTTATTTATACTCCCCAAATACACTCATCTACACTTGAATTAGGATTCTGCACTAAGCACTGCACTATGATGACATCATTCGATTATCCAGTCTAAGGCTGGACGCTTTTATTGGACAGAAAATAAACACAAGCGCATCAGAAGTATGAATACACAAATAAAAAACAGGTTTGGGTATTCAAAATCAGCCGTCCAGTGCAGCTGGTGAAAAGAAAAATAAAAAACACTCCCGCATCCTGTGCAAGAAGGAAATCAATGCTGGTTCGAGACGAGAACCCAGAAACAACCAACAATAACAGATAACACGTAACACCGTCAAAATGACATCCCAGCTCCAGGAGGCCCCTTGAAACACCCATAAGATATCCGAACGCCATGCAAATTGGAAACAAGAAATGGGCAAGATAGAGAGAGAAAAAGAAGAAGAAGAGATGAACAGGCTGCAGGCTAAGTCGTGGTTCCAACATAAAAACAAAGAACCAGAAAAGACCAGTATAAACCAGGCTAAAAATAGGATAAGGAGGACAGCTCGATCAACGGGAACGGTCATTCTCATTAGCTTCGGCACTGGCGCTGAGGCCGCGGCCCATGTTGCGCGAAAGGCCAGCTCCTACCCACCATTCATCGGGGATGTCCTCCCGGCGAGCGAGTCGGCTCTAGAATAGCCTGCATCTGATGGATATCGGACTCGTTCGAATTATCGGAGAAGGAAAAGGAGATGGTAGGAATTGGAGGGTGTCCACTGATTGTCGAGTGGAGGCCGGCAGAACGGCGCAGGGGCATTTGAAGGCCCGAGGGTGTCAAGACCCGATGGTAATTTACAGGCGTATCCTCATCGTCCGAAGAAAAGTCACAGGGGTTGAGATGGTCGGGGTACGGGTCAAGAGATGCCATAGGGTGGCTGGAGTTGAGGGAGGACGGTTGTGTTTGAGAGGAATTCGCAGAGTTTCGGGACGTCCCGGTGCGCGGCGCGTCTGTCGCAGAAGCGGAATTCGAGGAGAAGGAGGTGTCGGTGGAAGGTAAATTGGCATCAGGAGTGATGGTAGAAAGCAGGGTTTCCCATGCATCGCGATCGCCATCGGGGCTCAGGCTGCGTTGCCGATCGCCAAGACCGTCGATAGCTGATTCCCGGGGTCGAACAGGTCCATTTCCGGTCCGGTAATCTCGCAGCAGAACAGATGGGATGTGGGCGGTGGGTTCACGACTTCGGCCATCGCTGCGGATGAGAGGAGGCAGGCGGATACCATCGATAGATGGGTGAGATGAATGGTAGATTGCGGGGGGGAAATTCGGGGTCAAGAAAGGGCTCCCAGTACGCCCATGTGGAGGAGAATCCGGGCTTGCGAGAATATTGGCCAGGGCTTCATCGCGAGTGATGCGAGAGCGTCGACTCGAGTGCGAGTGATCACGACGTGGCGGATTCGGACGTGCCGAACTCCGGTTCAAGGCCTCGCGCCGGGTCGTATCTAGATCTAATCCATCTTCGCTGACGCCGAGGTTCAATACAGGAGATCGCACTGCCGATTGTCGGTGACCGATGCCGTAGTCACGATGGATTTCATCAAGGAGCTGTGACTGAAGGGTGGTTAAGACGCCGCCGCCGCGCGCGCGGGAGGAATGGCGTGATGCGCGCCGGATCGTAGGTTGCCGGCGGATTGAGGAACGCGCAGCAGCGGAGGAATCTTTCTCAAGGGTGGTCTTTGTGTTATCGGCCTCGGAAGGCTCGCGCCACATCCTACACCCAAGTTAGTCGTCACGGCGATGAGGTGGCGCATGCGACAAGGCAATGCGGAGACAAAAGGGAGTAGACTTACGGAATGCCCATTATGGAAAAGTAAAGAGTGAAGTAAGAGAATGAAAAGCAAAGAAGAAAGAGGAGTGGTTTGCTTATAAAACACGAATTTGACGCGACCCCAGACGTAGTGGGGATGGGGAGGGGGGTGGTTGGAGATGCGATGGAGCCGATCGGGAAGACTGAAAAACCTCACCAGTTGGTCTTTTGGGGCGGCGATTGTGGCCTGATGGCCTGGGGTTGACCGCTTTGTATTAGTCATCTGGTCAGACGGCAGAATTAGTGTCGTGTCACGTGTATAGTTACTACATGTCACGTGGATCATGACGATCCCCGCGGCGGAGCGGAAATCGAGCGGAGTCACTTTCGGGTTTCCCGTGATGCATTCTTAGGAGATTCTTGAGCTCGCCATCACCTTCTTTCCACCCTCCAAACCATGCCAATTGATCCCCTACTTTTCTAGGAGGAATGATTGAACTTGGTCTCAGCCGTGTCTCACGGCTTGTTCAGCAGAGTCCGCTGACATGGAAAGCAATTCATATTGCGGGGACAAATGGAAAGGGCTCGATCAGTGCATATCTCTCTCATATTCTATCCTCAGAGGGAATCAGATGTGGCCGCTTTACATCTCCGCACTTGATTGATCGGTGGGATTGCATAACGATAGGCGAACGGGTAGTCAAAGAATCGCTCTTTCGACAGATCGAAGACGAGGTCAAACGCCGAGACCAGACTTTGGGCATCGGCGCATCCGAGTTTGAGCTATTGACTGCGACAGCCTTTGAGATCTTCAACCATGAACAAGTGGAGATCGGTGTGGTTGAGGTGGGCATGGGAGGTCGCCTGGATGCTACCAATATCTTGAATAATGTATTGGTATCAGTGATCGCCAAAATTGGCATGGACCACCAGGCCTTTTTGGGATCTACCATTGAAGAAATTGCTGCCGAGAAAGCTGGGATCCTGAAATCGGGAGTACCCTGCGTGGTGGATGCCACCAATGAAGCTGCGGTGATCGATACCATCTCAAAACGAGCCCAAGATCTAAAGATCGATGCCAGCTTCGTCTCTCCAAGTAAAGTGGAAGAACAATTGCCACCATTGGCCCAATTGTTCCGCAAACTCGATCTCGAACCTCATCAACAAGAAAATATGTGCTGCGCAGTTTCCGCACTACGCCTTTCTCTATCTAAGATTCGCCCTGAAACGGACGCTTTCTCTCTACTTCCCCGTCTGGCCGATGTCAAGTGGCCCGGACGATTAGAGACCATCTCCCTACAATCCTTGATTTCTCGCACAGAACCCATCCTCCTGGATGGTGCCCCATAATTCACAGTCCGCAGAGGTTCTCGGGAAATACGTGAATCGCAAACTTCGACCCGATTCTGGAAGCGTGACTTGGGTTATCGCCGCCTCAAGTGGAAAAGACCTAGCCGGTGTCTTTCAGGCTATCATCCGGCCTGGGGATCACGTTGCTACGACCGAGTTTGGGCCTGTGGAAGGCATGCCATGGGTCACACCAACGAATGCGTCTGAACTTGCAGGAGCCATTCGATCGATACCCGAGATCGGTCGAGTACAAGAGTTTGAAGGCGATCTTCTTCCTGCAATTAAGTGGGCTGGCGAAGTGGCTGACGGTCGGCCCCTTGTCATTGCTGGTAGCTTGTACCTGGTTTCCGATGTGCACCGCTTGCTCCGTGACGCGCAGAAATGATATCCTCAGGCTGTCTTCAAGTTTCCAGAGGTGTGCCTGGCCTCCGATCGGAGTGAACTCGATGTATATATAGAACTAGACCGCCAATGTAAATAGCACTCCACCCTGCGATGTGGGGAATGCCTCACCATTAAACTGAGAACAATGTCACCAAGTATACTAGTACTCTGAAACAATTAATTGGTACTTAAGACCAGGACAGGGTGAAATTGGCAGTGTATAGTAGTAGTAGTAGTAGTAGTAGTAGGAGTACCTAGCAGGTACCCAACTTAATGGCCCCAGTGGTAGGGCTGATCGGCGCGAGTCCAGCACAGCCCGCTGCATCATGCGGCTTGTGGAGAAGGAAAGTTCAAGTTCAAAACAACCACCGCTACCCCAACACTACTAGCTACCCCCTTGAACCCCCATCCCCACGGAACCCGGTGCTCGCTTGAATTTAAAGGGCCTCTCATTCATTCGAATTCTCTCGACATCCCTTGAATGCGCCCCGGGTATCGGTAAACCCCCGTGAACACCAGGGCGCGAGAGCTGAAGTTCTGTGATGATCGCTCGGTGAGACCCTGTGAACCCCCCCTCCTCAACCCTGCAATCGAATGATACCTACATCTATCGTTTGCGATTCGATTGGAATCAAATGGACTAATAAACTGGATCTATAGAACAGGCGGACATGAACTCTGAGCTCGCTGCCCTCGGCCCCTGCCTTCTTCCTTAGCTCTCTTCAGGGCCTCCCACCCCCCACCATCCCCCCCAGTCAACCTGAAACCACGTCCTGACGATCGGATCAAACGCCTAGCAGATCATCATCTGGGCCCCTCGGCCTAGTCTGTGATATGGTCTCTCGTTCCGAGGTGAGTGAGGGGCAGCGCCCCCTCACCCCCTCCAGAACCCCCGGCACGCCGATGAAACCGCGATTGGCACGAGTCCAGACGAGTCCGACAAAACGAGAACATAAGCCAAAGGAGGATCAACCATTGAAGTCATCAGCCAAGGATGTTGCGGAGCTCAAGGACTATGTACGATGGCATTTCCCCTCCCCCCTCTTCTTCTGGCATGGCCACACAATGGGGCACTAAGCATGCTAACACTGGCGTTTGGGGCTATATAGCAACTGGGTGACTGCCTGGGAAGAGGCGCTTTCGGATCAGTCTATCGCGCCCTGAATTGGAACACTGGCGAAACCGTTGCGGTTAAGCAGATCAAACTGGTGGATCTCCCCAAGAGCGAACTGCGCGTTATTATGGTATGACCCCGCAAATTCCGAACTGTCTTGTTACCTCGAGCACTCGTCTAATATGAGACCTCATGCAGCTTGAAATTGATCTTCTTAAAAACTTGGATGTGAGTCGTTCTCCCCCCCCCCCCAATCAACTCGACGCGGACTGACCCAAACAACAGCATCCAAACATTGTCAAGTACCATGGATTTGTGAAATCAGTAGAAACTCTAAACATCATTCTGGAGTATGTGTTTGGAACCCCTGGTGATTCTTCTCAATATCGACAAATACTAAACCAACTCCCAGGTATTGTGAAAATGGATCGCTCCACTCCATCGCTAAGAACTTTGGACGATTCCCGGAGAATCTTGTGGGGTTGTACATGTCGCAAGTTCTTCATGGATTGCTGTACCTACACGAACAAGGTGTCATTCACCGTGATATAAAGGGCGCCAATATTCTTACTACCAAGGAAGGCCTTGTCAAGCTTGCTGACTTTGGTGTGGCCAGTCGGACCACTGGTTTGAGCGAGTCCAGCGTCGTTGGCACACCATACTGGATGGCACCAGAGGTCATTGAGCTCTCCGGTGCGACGACCGCCTCAGATATCTGGAGCCTAGGGTGTACCGTCATTGAACTACTTGAGGGAAAACCGCCCTATCACAGTCTGGCTCCTATGCCGGCATTATTCCGCATTGTCAATGACGACCACCCACCACTTCCCCAGGGTGCATCCCCAGTATGTCATTGTTCCCACCATCTAACATACTCCAGTACCCTGTCGGCATGACTAACTTTTGAGCAGGCTGTAAAAGATTTCCTCATGCAATGCTTTCAAAAAGATCCTAATTTGCGAGTGTCTGCGAGGAAGTTATTGAAACACCCGTGGATAGTCAACGCTCGCCGCTCTGATTCCGTTATCCCTAAGAAATCCACAGAATACGAAGAAGCAGTTCGAAGTGTGCAAGAGTGGAACGAGGCTCTCCGTTCTCCGGAAGCGGGCACATCGCGAAAAAGCAACAAATTTGACAATACTGCCTCGCATCCCGTCCGTAACACACCCTTGATGGATACGTTACCCTCTCCAACTTCTATGAAGACAACAGACCGCTATAGATCTCCTGAATCTGCCCAAGATGACAACTGGGACGATGACTTTGCCACGGCAATCTCTCCAAGCGCACTTCAATTACCTCATCTACGCCCACACGACAACTTTGGGGGTATGCTTTCGTCTGAAAGATTGAAGGCATTTGCTTCACTTGACGGTACCATGTTGAGACCAGACGACAGCTTCGACGAATTTCAAGAGACATCTGACTCAATCCAAAACGCGGAAAATGATCCTTTGCAAACAATTCGTCCTTTACCAGCCAGGCCTACAGCCATCGACCCCTCCAAATCTCATAGTCCGACTCGACGTCAGCCTAGCAAAGCTTCGTCATCCGCCCTTCAAAAAGTTCCCATTCTTTCACAAAACCCGGTGCCACACATGAGGAGAGACCGACCAGCCCATCTCTTCAAAGAGAATTCAGTGGAGGATTATACTGACTTCATAATGGCCAATGAGGATGTTGATGGGAAGGTTGCAGCGTATAAAGTGAGTTAACTCCGAGAGATTAAAAAGGAAAGGCTTCGCCACAAGTTGCTAACCAGTCCCAGGAAACGGACGGTGATCCCGCATCGCCTATACGTGACAAATCATTCTATGATTTTGATGAAGATCGAGGTGGCCAGCAGCCCCAGCTCCGAAAACAGCTCTCCGTGAAGCGCGATCGTTCCACCATTGAGATTCAGAAGTTTACCGAAAACGAAGACGATGAGGATTTCTCGGATATTCTTGGCAACGATCAGGTCGCTCTAAATACATCTGAGAGCGATGACGGGTCTGAACAGAACAGCTTGAAGTTGAACACCAAACTATCAACGAATTCGTGGCTCGGCGACCAAGATGACGAAGATGATCCCTTTGCGCAATTGGAAGAAGGCTTCGATGAGATGGATTTGGAAGCAAACATCCAGCGTGACAAGAATGCTCGCCTCCGCAGTCAGGTGGAGGGTTTGGTGGACTCTTTGAAGACTTCCCAGGACGAGGATGTTCTTGCGGAAATCTCCGAACAATTGCTTGCTGATTTCTTTGACCTGCCCGATACCAAGAATATCATCATTGGCGCCCATGGAATGCTTCCGATTCTGGAAATACTCGACACCTGTCGTCGCCGGGATGTTATATTCTATCTATTGAGGATTGTGAACGCCATTATCTACAACGACTATGAGGTCCAGGAGAACTTGTGCTTCGTTGGTGGAATCCCTATCATCAATGAGTTCGCGTCGAAGAAGTACCCCCGCGAGATTCGACTTGAGGCCGCCGCATTTGTCCAGCAGATGTACCAAACCTCGACACTCACTCTTCAAATGTTCGTCAGTGCTGGCGGCTTGAATGTCCTGGTAGAATTCTTGGAAGATGACTATGAAGACGAACGTGAACTGGTGCTGATTGGCGTAAATGGAATCTGGAGTGTCTTTGATCTGCAGGTAGGTGCCACATGGGTCCAGCTCCAGCTCCATGATCTTAATACTAACTATAACCTTTCAGGGATCGACGCCGAAAAACGATTTCTGTCGAATTTTGTCGCGGAATTCCGTCCTTGATCCTCTTTCCTGGTACTAAGTCGAGTTTTAGATGAAGAGGGAGACCTGGCAGATCTTGTAGAGGCTCGCATTGCAAGCATCTTCTTCATTTTCTCACAGGCTGAGAATCATGTCAAGGAAATGGTAGCGGAGCGAACGGTTTTGCACAGTAAGATTGATCTTTCGGTATTATATCTGTTTTCTCCATTTTCGCTGACAATTTCTTGTAGGAGTTTTGAAAGATCTGAAGCGAATGTCGCCCATGCACCAGGTCACAATGTTGAAATTCATCAAGAACTTGTCTATGCTTTCTACAACCCTTGATGCGCTCCAGAACTCCAACGCTATCGATGTTCTGACCGATCTCCTCCGATCTGCTATGAAACTCAGCCAACGCCACTTCCGCGAAGTTTCAAACCAAATCCTCAACACCATCTACAACATGTGCCGATTGAATAAGCCTCGGCAAGAAGACGCCGCTCTAAATGGCATTGTTCCCCTGCTTCAGAGGATCGTCCACACCATGGGGCCTCTGAAGGAGTTTGCCCTTCCAATTCTTTGTGATATGGCGCAATCTGGAAAGGTTGGCCGCCGTGAATTATGGCGCAACAAGGGTCTCCCATTCTATATCTCTCTTCTTGAAGATCCATATTGGCAGGTCACAGCTTTGGATGCTATCTTTACGTGGCTCCAAGAGGAGACCGCCAAGGTCGAGGAGAGTCTGCTTGATAATCGCCATGATAAAACCTCATTCGCCGATTCCATTGTGGCTTGTCTGGCCGAAGCGAAAGCAAATGCCTTTGAGAATCTTCTTGAGCCCCTACAGAAGCTTCTTCGACTGAGCCCCCCTGTTGCCTCTACCTTAGCTCGACCCGATCTGTTCACACGATTGGGGCAGAAGCTGCACCATAATAAAGCCGCTGTTCGACTGAACATCCTGCGTATCATCTCAAGCATCTGCGATTCAAGTGAACAACAAGGCGAACTACTCGTCTCATACGGATTGCTGAGACGCGATCCGCGAGCTCGAAAACGACCCGGCCATCCTGGTCAGAGACATGGCAGGCAAATTGATCCAGTCCAGTGAAAGGAGCGAGGCCTTCGGCGTCCCCAAGCGCCGACCAACAAGTCGGAGAAAAAGCACATCAACGACTCCGCCCAATCCCTTTGCTGCCTCGACCCCATCCACCCCATCATCAAATCGCACCAGTCAATCCCGAGCCTCCTACTTCGATGGTCGCGAAACTCCCCGTCACCCTCGTAATGCCCTAGGCGGCTCCTCTCTCGCCCTCCGACCCGGAAGTCGCGACGGCAGTGGTTCAGCCTTGAATCCCGCCGTTAACGGCAGCGCCGTTAACCCGCGTTCCCGACTTTCGCGCGGAATATCTAGTAATAACCGTCTCTCGCAAATCGAAATGCTCCAGGATGAGGAGGGCAAGGCTCCGAGTTCCCTTGGTCGCAGACCGTCCATTATTCCCAGGCGAAGGAGAACCACTGTGGCCGACTCTGAATGGACTTGATGACCTAGCCTCCCTTTGGTTGCCGTACCTAGGTAGCCTGTTTCGATTGCTCTGCGGCCTCTTTCTACATACACATTCCTATTTTCTTTGTTCATGCTTCTTCCTTCTATCACTTCTCTTTCTTTTTCTCTATTTGTGAAAAGAACACGGCGTTTTCCGAGGGTGGGCTTTGGGCTACAGGGTTATTGGTCACTATGGTTCTGCTCTCCAAAACATGTCTGTCTTTCCTTTGTTTCCTAACTTGCTATGCTGGGCACTGGTTGCTGCACATAGAAACTACATAAACTTCTGAATGAGACATAATCTATATTGCCTCCATGGGCATGTTGAAATACGTATTTTGGATTCGAGTCCATAGTATTGGGACCCTTTCGGCCCTGGGGGTAATTGGGCTCCAGGGCCTCGGGATGTTCCAGGGCTTTCCCTTTCAATTCCGAGGTCCCCTTGGGGTCCATTGACTAAAGTGGAGGAACTGATTCTCTGTCCGATAGTATGTCAATAGTTTCTTTGATCCCATTCTCCAGCTTACTTCCAGTACTCGAACGTGACATTGGCTCTTTGATACTAGAATCGACGAAGTGATGTTCTTTGTGCTTTTTGAGTGTCCATGTCCTCGGTATTGGATAAAGGCCGCAATGATCCATCCCAACAAGCTACCCTCCACCCATTTTCTACTTTTCTACTTTGGCAAAATTTCTCAAAATGTCTAGTGCAAAGCGAAAGGCGACCGATATTGGAAGGGACAAGAAGCCCTCCAGGGCGGGGACGAGTACACTCTCCCCAAATGATAGCACCGACAGAAGGATTCTCGACATCAAGGATTTGGACCTTGAATCGCCTTGGAAGGGGGCGATTGAAACTATTTCTGGGCCCGAACGCCCTAAGAAATACCGGCCATGGCCGTGTGAAGAGAGAATGGAACCTGTGTACAAAGCAGAAGATCTACCCGAGGACTGGCACATGAATGAGGATGACCTCGACCCCAGGTGAGTTGTTGGTGGTCTACTGCTAGTACCCAGCTACTAGTAAAAGATGTTTTACGATTAGGTGTATTTCCTAACATTCGATGCTTCACAGCGATATTGATGGTCAAATCGAGCGATGCAAGGAGAGAATCAAAGAAAATATAAGACCATATATTTTTGAGCACAAACTGAAAGCGTATGAAATATCAAAGCAACAGATTAAGTAAGGACTTCCTTCCCAACTGCTGATCAAAATAATCTGGCTATTGGGTTCTAACTCCTTTTCTATAGGGACGAGCTTAAAAGCCAGCCCAGGGCGCGCACCATCGAAGTTGCTTCACGGTTAAATGGCCTCGGGGAAATGAAGTCCAACATAGAGAGGGGCATTGATAGTGACAAAGATAAGCAACTACCTAATATCAAATCTATCATGTATGCTTATGAGAACCATCATTTGGATTGGACTCCGGGCTTGGTCACTTATTGGTCAAAGGGCCAACCGCTCTGTGCGCCCAGACCGTTCGATTGGGATGAGTTTGAAGCCATCAATAAAGCCAACGAGGGCCATGAATCCTTTTGGGTAGAGGGTGTAAGTTTCCTGTATACAGCTGAATAGCTAAGTATAGTACGGGACTAGCTAATCATATCCTACAGCTATTTGGTAATGTAGCTCGGTTTGTGGGTGCTGAGGCAATAACACTCGGTCTACTTAAAGGGGCCTCCAATCTCGCAAATCTCACAGAGGTATGGCTGACTGAATGAGGATATTGAAATTCAGATCAACTATTTTCATGTGCTAATCGATGAGAACCATTAGGTCCTAATAACCCTCCGCATTCCAGGCTATGAGAATTGGGTCACTCTTACCTTCTGCCACGACACTGGATGCGATCTAATGACCTTGTATGAGGGCGATATACGACCATTGATGGGACGCCAGGGACCCCCAGAGAAACCTTATATTCCCGTTATGGGGTATGGGAAATCGTATGGTGTAGCTGGTACTTCAAGGGTCCAGTATTTCGAGCTGGAAGCCACAATCCTGGACAGCTATGGGCGTAGAATGACGCCATGGACGAGAGTCTGGTGCACAGCCGAAAAAGGCGACTGGTCACCTACCGCAAGAATTCCCAGATTGGATGGTCCGCTTCTCAGAACGATGCTGTTCACTGCTTCTGCGCCTGATCAATCGGGGAACACGTATGTTTGCCATCAAAAGACGCCACTGTTCAAAAAGATACCAGCAGTGGATCTTCTAACAAACCCGCCGGATATGTCACGCCACGCGTTTCCAATGAAAAAGCATCCTCCTGGTTCAGTGATAATGCCTACAACAGGTCCACTCCCGAAAAATCTTGCGACCACGACCTCCCCACCCAACGCACCTGGCCTTCCTCCTGCTGGATATCAATAAATTGCAATTCTCTTTGAGTCTAGCTAAGCGCGACCTTTTTGATTTCTATATACTTTCCAAATCATGCTGCACCGTCGTAATTAGTAGTAATATGGATCTTCAAGTTCTCAGAGACAAGGCATAGAGTCGTAGTGGACTGGTAGGTTAACTAGTAGGCTTCCATAACAGCTCTCTTCAAGTTATTAGTAGCTAATACTATTATACTATTATGTATCTACTAGTATATATCTACGATCCTCGATCCATCTATATTGAATGTAGTATTATGCCTTCTCCATACTTTGAACTTTTATACTTCGTCATCTCGGAATCACGTGCACGTGCGGCCCGAGATCGGGCGAGAAGCGATTGGCGGCGAAAACCGAAAACCGAGAATCCTCAAAAAATTACCTTACGATCGTGTGATTCCCCATGGACTGAACAGTACCTCTCATTCACCTTTTTTGAAATTTGCGCTCGTAATTATCTCTGCCGGAACGGCTTCTCGTTCGGAATGAGCGCTGCATTTCGCGTGCCGCTGCGGGCCTTCGCCAATCCCGCCACGGCCATTCGACAAACATCAACAACCTCGATCGCGAGCCCTGCGCTCTCTCTTCGCGCGGTACGCCCGTCCTCCTCGCCCCTGGGATCAATTGCTTCCAAGCTATGGAGTCGTCAATCCTCTGAAGTACGCTCGCAAGCTACATCGTCCAGCCGGTGTTTTTCGACGAGAACCTCGCCTCTCAGGTCCGCGGAGGAAAATGTGACTAGTAACGAGGGAGTGAAATCAAAGCCTGGCCCGTCGCAGAGCAAGAAACCGATTGCGCTTCTGGTTGTCTTGGGTCTGCTGGGTGTTGGCGCGGCTGTATACTCGGAAGAGCTCAAGCATGGATATGGCGCGGCGCGGAGGAGTGGTCGCGTGGTTGGTACACTGGCCGTTTGCATTAATGAGTAAGTGCACCGAAGATTCTGAGAGTGTCTGGATCTGGATTTGGCGCATTTCCAAGGAAGTTAGGTTGGCTAACATGAATCGCCCTCTATAGCTACCGCGTGACGCTCAACAAAGAAACCTCAAACCCCGAAGAACGAGACGAGTTGATCCGCGCTTGCCACAAGCGCTGCGCGGAGCGTACCTTGCGGGTTCTAGAAAAAGAATGGCTCGATTTTCATCAAACTGGGTCAACATCTCAGTAGCATGGGCTACTTGCTCCCCATCGAATGGACTACAACGTTCATCCCGCTCCAAGATAAATGCCCCGTGTCGTCGATCGAGTCGATCGAGCAGATGTTCGTTCAGGATACCGGCCAGACTATTGATGAGCTATTCAGCTATTTTGATCCCGAGCCTACTGGTGCTGCTTCCTTGGCCCAGGTTCACGTCGCGACGCTGAAGGGAACCGGCCAAAAGGTTGCAGTCAAGGTACAGCACCCTGCTCTAGCTGAGTGGGTACCGCTGGATCTGGCATTGACCAGATTTACGTTTTCTATGCTAAAGCGCTTTTTCCCGGAGTATGATCTGGAATGGCTTTCCCGGGAGATGGACCTGTCTTTGCCCGTTGAGCTGGACTTCCGAATGGAAGCTCAGAACGCTACTATTGCTAGCGATTACTTCAAGAAGCACTCCGATGTGCCATTAGTTATCCCCGAAGGTATGTCTCGAAGCACCTACACATATATACCCTCCTCGAATGTGACCGCCATATTAACCAAATCTAGTCATGTGGTCTCAAGAGCGCATCCTGGTTATGGAATTCATCTCCGGCCGACGCCCCGACGACCTCGAATTCCTCGACGCGAACAACATTGACCGCGACGAAGTCTCCGCCGCCTTCGCTCACATCTTCAACGAGATGATCTTCGGCGATGACGCTCCGCTGCATTGCGACCCGCACGGCGGCAATATCGCCATTCGCCCCAACCCTAACAGCCGCCACCCGAACTTCGAAATCATCCTCTATGACCACGGTCTCTACCGTACCATCGACCGAGACCTGCGACGCAATTATGCCAAGCTCTGGCTGGCAGTCATCGACGCCGATGTACCCCGCATGCGCGAGTTTGCGTACAAGGTCGCCGGCGTCACGGACGAGCAGTTCCCACTCTTCGCTAGCGCAATCACGGGCCGTGACTATAGCGTCTTGACGAAGAAGAATGTTGCTTCTCTCCGTACAGCTGATGAAAAGAAGGAGATCTCTGGCGCTCTTGGTGAGGGCATGTTGCAGCAGTTGGTAGTGTTGCTGGGCCAGGTTCCGCGGATTATCCTGCTTATTCTGAAGACGAATGATTTGAGTATGCCACTATCCCCTTCCTTTGCTTCACCCTCCCCCATTCCCTCTTTGGAACTTGATAGCTAACTATCTCCCCAGCTCGCAGTCTAGACGAGAACCTGCACACCCGCTCCGGGCCAATGCGCACATTTCTCATTCTAGCCCGGTACGCCACCCGCACCGTCTTCGAAGAACAAATGGAGACCATCCGCGGCTCTGGCGGCGTGTTCTTGAATTTCTTCCGCTTCCTCTCTGCCTGGGTCGGCTTCTTGCGGGTCGAAGTCAAACTCTCTGTTTACGAGACCGTTCTCTCGATGAAGAGCCGGTTCGGACTGCGAACTGGTTGATTTTTCCTGTAGCGTGCTGCGCTCGTGGTTCCCCTTTCCTCTGTTTTCGTTTTGTACATTATTCCCCGTCTTTTATCCCTTTCGGTTGGTTTGGTTTGGCACGGATTGTCTGCCCGTACATCTGTGCATCAGCGATGGCGTTTTGTACCGTTTCCCTCTTTCCCCTATCTCCTCGAGTCCGCACATGAAAGGACTTGCTGTGCTTGGTTTCCCCTCCTTTTTTTTCTGTTTTTATGAGCGCTGCCTGTCCTTGGGCACTTTGTACAGATAGATTCGCCGATAGATACAAAAGACATAGACTCGACAAAATACGCAGTCAGTTGGAGTGTTTCTGAATGCACTTGTATTGGTATAACCTGTCTATTTCAAGGCTACTGTCTACTTTGAAATAAAAAATTCTGGTTTCATCGTTTCATTAGAAACTATCCAAGGCACCACACTTTTAAGAATAGAGAGTATCAAATCGAGGATTCCAGATACCGAGGCGCCGTAACAGAAAAAAAAAAAGAAAAAGAAAAAGGTGGTGTGGAAAACAACATGCACGAAACGTAAAAACAATAGAAAATGTCTGTACAGCAAACAAATATGCAGTATTTGCTTGAAAATTCCTCCGACCGGCCGACCGCTACTGCGACCTGACGGACACATCATATCTCACAGCCACAGCCGACCGGTAATACCAGGTTCCCCAATAATTCATCTCTGCATTCCCGGGGGGAATAATTCAGTCCTCGATCAAACGACTGTTCTCAAATGACAAAAGCGGTTTCGCGGGAGTATCACTGCGTAAAAAAAAAAAAAAAAAGCAAAAGGGAAAAAAAAGTGAGGCATTTTTTTTTGCTTCGGCTCGGAGGTCCGACCCGAACAAAGCCTGCCGCTAATAAGGAGCAAGTCCATCAATTTAGATAGCGGCGGCAGGGCTGCCACCAATCTCGACCTTGACGTCGGGAATGGAAGCGCCTGTCCCGGAGAGGTCGGTTGAGCGGGCGTTGGGGTTCTTCTTGTGGTAGTCGGAGATGGCGGACTTGATAGCGTCCTCGGCGAGCATGGAGCAGTGCACTGGAGAAATTCAAGTTAGAACAAGTGATTCATTCCACGTATCCCCGGACGTGTGGGGCATTTGTAGAGAGAAAGAAAGGAAGAAAAGACATACGCTTGACAGGGGGCAGGCAGAGCTCCTTGGCCACATCAGTGTTCTTGATCTTTCCGGCCTCCTCGAGAGTCATGCCGCGGACCAGTTCGGTCAGGTAACTGGATGAAGCGATGGCGCTGCCACAGCCGAAAGTCTTGAAGACAACGTCATCGATCTTACCACTGTCCTTGTTGACACGGATCTGAAGCTTCATGACATCGCCACAGGCGGGGGCACCGACGAGGCCGGTACCGACGTCCTGGTCACCCTTCTTGAAGGAACCGACGTTACGGGGGTTGTTGTAGTGGTCCAGGACCTTCTCGTGGTATCCGCGGCGCTGGGCGGGGGAAGCGATAGCTGGGGCAACACGCTGGACAGCAGGCTGGGCCTGGACGGACTGAAGGCCGGCGAGGGGAGCGAAAGCACGAGGCGCGACAGAGCCGACGCGAGGGGCGGCGGTGACGATACGCTTGAACATTTTGGAAGTGTTGGGAGTGTTGAGATTGATTCGATAGATTCTTTCGATGAAGGGGGTAGATGTTTTGGGGGATAGTTGAAAGAGGCGAAAATGAAACCGATCTGATAGGGAAGAAGAGAGGGCGATGAATTCATTGCTAAATAATCTGATTGCTTATCTCAGCTGCCGCTAAGCCTAATCGGGGGCTCAAATCCCCGGAACCGCCGGCCATCGGAGCTGACTCATCCACGTTCAACCGGTTTTCTGCCTTCTTTCAGTATATCATTACTCGATTTTATTTCATTACTCTCGAGTACGGGGTTCTCAGGGGTCTCATTTGGGTCAATTTGGACCTCTATGAAAGCCCCTCTTCTTTCACTATCCTTCCACTAACCCCATGATATCAGACGGAGGGGCAGTGGCAATTCTCGGAGGCCACTCACTTTCTCCGCGGTGGATGCAACCAACCTCTGGGTTTCCCGCTGGGGACTCCGTGGGCCAATTGTGCATCGATGATATCAAATGGTGGAGATGCCCTGTTTACCTTCCAGGTAGGGATATTCATGGACAAGCTCGATGATTTAATGGATCAGCGGGCCGCTCTTACTTTGGAAAGGGAAGCCAACAATCCTAATCCTATTCGAATACCTTCCATCTTTCTCCTTGACCCCGGAATGCTGAATGCTGAAGCTAGCTCTGAACCTGGTCTGTGCGGTCCGAGGCAGTCCGAACAGTCGGAGTTAAGGTGCTGACGCCTGCTCGGACTCGGTCAATATATCGGGGTATTCGTGGGTTCGGTCACTAAAGTGCTATCATGTGACTGGAACGGATTGCCTTTTACGGGGAGAGTACGGAGTACGGAGTATGCATTACTAGTATTACCTCATAGTCTAGTTTAATTCAGTCCAGTCTTGCGTCTTAAGTTTTATATCTCTATTCCATTTTTGCCTACTGCCAAACACTGCATCAAATTAACAGTAACCATAGTTGATAGAATACTTGTAAAAATACTCGTCAGATGACAAACAGCCTGCCAATCGTTCGACAACTGAATGCTTGGCACCTGCCCTCATGTCAACCTCTTCTCCAGAGTTAAAGTATACACTTGGGCAGTACCCAACGGTTGCAGCTACATCAACCACCGGGTCGCATTACCATGTCCTCCAAGAATACTTCAAACCCTAAAGCCCTCGGTCGGTCCTCAGGGGTACGTAAACCATGTCTCATCCAGCCAGCGCTCGGAAAGCTCTCGAAAGAATGCCTGGCCCCGGCGGACACAGCTAATGATATCTGCAGTCTCTAAATGCTCCCATCGCGGCATTCGCCATGGCCCTGATCCTGGGCTCTTATTGCATTTCATCGATTCGCACTGCACGACGCGAGGCCCAGGGTCAATCGGTCGCGACACCGGACGCGCCCACGCGACGGGCATCGGGTGGGAAGGACTCGTGGGTTCAGCAGGCACTGGAAGAGAGTCAAACGGGCAAGGGAGGGAAGGCTTGAGTTAGAGAGAGCTGGCGAGTCCTACTAGTGGTACTACTAGTAGTAGAAGATGTTTCTGCATGCCCAGGTGGCTGCTTCTTGTTGTTTACGTTTGCATTGCATTTACCGGCGTACAGCAGGAAATATTGAATCTTGATTGAATCTTGATTGAATCTTGTGTATGTTTACTATGCTCGGCTCAGATCATGAAATATGATTTATGTGCATTCAGCGATTGGGAGTAATATTTAACACTAGACTCGAGCCCAGTCCGGGCTTCAACTATTGATTGAACTTGGGCACCGCCCAAAGACCAGTCTTCATCTTCGTGATCGATCAGAATTTTCAGTGTATTGAATGATCATACACCGGGCGTTTAAGTGTAGAACAACCCGGGTCAATATTCATAGAAAGATCATCATATAAATCGTGAAGAGAAGAATGGACGATCGGGGTGCGCGTGGCCGAGAAATACTAGTAGACCATGAGGCAAGCCTCAAAAAAGTCATATTCCTGCACATACAAGTGCTAGTAGCCGATCCTGATCCCTAGCCATAGCTGAGAAAAGATTGGAACTAGCTGAGTGACCCAAGCATGGTACAATTATCTTTAATCCTTCTGGTCGATCGTAGGCGAGATGCCATTGAAATACTTATGCCAATTTCCACACTACCTGTGATTATACATCAAAATCGGCAGGCAGTGTGCAGGCAGTGTGTAGGCACTGAAGTTGCAGTTGCAGTCGCAGTTGCAGAGTGGAAGAAGAAGAAGAAACCCGAAAAAGCGAAGCGAGAAAAATCATATGCGGTATGTCACGTGATATGCAGCTTACTCCACCAATCACATCGCATCTCTCTCTACTCTGAACTATACAATAGTACTCGTACTCCCTATTAGTGTGATTGCGAGTAGGTGGTATTGGACACTGCTAACGAGAGTAAGCTTTAAAGCAATAAATATTCTGATTCGGGAAAATATAACGTGTCAACGCTATGAGAATCGCAATTATCCGTCAAGGCAAACTCGAACTAACCCTACTCGGTCGGAATCGGTGGGAAGCCGGCTATCTCCTAAACTTCATCAAGTTAGAATAAGGCTGAGTTATTCGATGAGCCACACTTTGATGTTATCCGGCAAGCTCCATCTGAAACAATTCGAATCAAATCACAAAGCCGGACAACGGAGTGGATTGGGGCCGAAAACTCGGCCCCCAATTATTTTAGCCTACAAAACAACTTCAGCCTCGCTGGTGACCGCATCATTCCTTTTTTTCCTTTTCCCTGCAACCTCGAAAAAAGAGAATAAAGGAAGAGGGGAAAGTCAAAAGAAAAAAAGAACCAAAGCCATCATACACAATGTCTTCCCCCACCGTGGATGCCTTTTTCAATCGCCTCGGCTCAATAGTCACAATCGGATTTCTAACAATCTGGATCCTCGTTACAGTTGGATTCATCTACATCGACATTGAAGACTCAAGCTGGAGACTCTTCGAAACCTTCTTATCAATCAGTCTCTTTACATATCTCATCTTCCGAATGATCGTGGCATGCACAAACACCAAGCCCGATTCAATTGTCTACCGCCTCACAACTGCCCACCGTCGCTCACGCCGAGGCGCCCTAGCAGTCCTCGTGTGCGCTTGTTCCTGGATCTACGGGCTATTCTTCAAACTCTTGACGCTGTTTCTAGTCAACTGGTTTTTCATAATGACATTTTCTGCCCATCTTTACCCGGAATTCTTTGATCAAATGGAGGAGGTTTCACTGCCGGATTCAGAGAGCCCTGGCTCCGGTGTCGAGGTGCAGAACGCGAGATATAGGTTCAACAAGGAGGAATATTTCGATGCAATGGAGCATATGAAGGAGGAAGCGGGCTTTGATCCTGTTCAAGCGCTTGGCTGGATTCCGCCGCGCGTCTTGTCATGCTGCTTTGCTCTTGTGTGGTTTTCATGCTGTACACTGACGCTCTATGTTCTCCGCCTTTGTTGGAAATCAATCAGGGTCGCCTTTGGACCTTCTTCGTCACCTTCTGCTCCACCAAAGACGCATGTGGTTTAGGTGTGATTGTTTATCGACTTGATTCACTCCATCAGAAGATTATCAAGCGAGTACTATCTACACCCATCTATGTATAATATTCTTACGAGATACCGACAATTTCAAGCATAAAATAACCATTATGTCATTTGAACATTTATACACATCATTGGGAAAAAAAAAAGGGCGAATCGGTCAGGGATGAAGACCGTTTCCAACACAGTTAGCCATATCATGACTTGATCAACGTAGCGGCCTTCTTCGCCTGGAAATCACGACTGCTGAATCCAGCCTTGAACGTAAACTGACCAGCAGGAATCCGCCAGTCTTGAGCAGTAACATCCCAGTAACTAACATCCCGGCGCATCAGGTCAAATGAAACAGTCTTCTTCTCACCAGCCGGAACCCAGACCTTATCAAATCCGCGAAGCTGGCTCGGGGGCGTACCAGCTGGCGCCGAGCTGGGGAATTCAACGTATAGCTGCGGCACAGCGAATCCATCAACGTCACCGGTGTTAGAAACCTCTGCTTGAAGGGTGAACACCGTATCCCAAAGAGCCGGATTACCGCCAGGCTGGGTAGGCAGCTTCTCTGGTAGAGCAGTAAGGTTGTTTTGTGGGGCAGAGCCCTTCAGCTTGAGACCCTTCAGGCCGAAAGTAGTGTAGCTCAGACCAAAGCCGAACTCGTACCGGACGGAGATATTCTTAGCATCGAAGTAGCGATATCCCACTTCGAGCTCTTCGTCGAACCAGCTCTGCCAGTCGTATGTACCATTTGTTTCCACGGCGGTGGTCACGGGGGCATTGTAGTCGGTCTCATTGTATGCGATCACGTAGGGGAGCTTGGCGGATGGGTTGACGTCGCCGTACAGAACATCTGCGATTGCGTTACCGGATTCCTCTCCAGCGTAGTGCTGGGCCAGGATGGCGGTTACGTTCGGGTGGTCTGCGAAAGGCATAACGTTCACGCCGCCAGAGTTCGTGATGACAACGGTGTTGTTGCAGTTGTTAGCGACGGCTTCCACAACCGCATTTCCATTCCAGTCTAGGTACAGCGAAGTTCGATCCTCGCCTTCTGCGGAATAGGATTTTCAGGAAAACGAGACACACGTCGGGTGTCTGTGGGATCCAGAGTGGTGATGTAAGTGCCGTGGTGGTGAGGAGGGTGTTGTTCAGGAAGGACTGGACGATGGATCCGTCCTTGCGAGCGCGGGCACTGATTGCGTCGAGTGGGGTGGACAGGAATGAGAATCTGCAGGATCCAGAGCTGGCAGATCCTGCGAGATGACCGTACTCAAAATCACCCATTAGATCAGGGCCTTGGGTGAGAGGGCCAGCGTCGTTACCGGCGATCACGATGTTGCGAGGTTTCTTGAGAGGCAGGGCATTTTTCTCGTTCTTCAGCAGGACAGTTGAGGCAGATCCATGCTCGCGAATCATGGCGCTGTGGTTTGCGCGAACGTCCCGGCTGCTTTCGCCTGTGAACTTCCAGTCATACAGCCAGGTATCAGGGGGCGAGTCGACATTCAGTGGGCCAACCGATGCATCAACGCTGGGGTAGTTCTTTTCCTGCCCAAGCCAGAAATAGGGAGTCATGATGCGGACAATCATGTCATCCAGACGAGTCATCTCAACGGTACCGTTCTGCACAGCCCGGGTGAGGTTCTTGCCCAGATAAGATCCTTCGGTCCAGAGTTCTCCGTAAAGAGTGAAACCTCCAGGCATGGTCATATCCATTCCACTCTCAACAGACGATACACCGCTGTGCGTAGCACCCCAGTCAGACATAACATAGCCCTGGAAACCAAGCTCGCCCTTAAGCAGGTGGTTAAGCAGGTAGGAGTTCTGACAAGCGTGGGAACCATTTACACGGTTATACGAGCACATGGCACTAGCAACCTTCGCCCGAACAGCGTTGGCAAACGGCCACATATAGATTTCGTGGAGGGTGCGGTCATCAATATTCGCTGACACCGAATCCTGGATATACGTTGTCTCGTTGGCGTCCGGGGCGTAGGTGGGGTTACGCTGGGTTTCTTGCTCATTGGCAATGAAGTGCTTCGCGTTTGCCTGGACACCCGCATCCTGCATTCCGTTGATGGTCTCCTCCATGCAGACACCAGTGAGGTAGGGGTCGGCAGCGAAGCCTTCCCAGGTTCGACCATCGTAGGGACTGCGGCCCAGAGGTCCACCGATGGGTCCCAGGATAACATGGGAACCCTTGGCCTTGTGTTCCTTGGCCATGGCATGTGCGCGGTTGTATAACAGTTCGCGGTCCCAACTAGCGGCGGCAGAAACACTGCTGATGAACACACTGGAGTAATCACCCTGCTGCACGCACTGAGGTCCGTTTTGGAGACAGAGACCGGTGAAATTGAGACGTGGAATGGGAAGGACATTTCCGACGCAGGGACCAGGTTGGCCCGTTGCCATCCAGGATTTCTCTTCCAGTGTAAGCTTGTTTACAAACTTCTTAGCTTTCAGAAGGGCATGCTCCCATCCTCCATTTCCGGTTGTGTTGGCTATATAATGTTAGGAGAAACCTCCGGTGTAGATCGGGTGGACATTTTTACTCACGCGAGGGGAGAACGAGGGGAGAGTGGCCATAAGGACTCAGGATTGTAGTGTTTTTTGGTTGGACATTGCTGAAAGGTTCTCCCGGGTGATTAATTGGGGCCTTGCAAGTATCTGCTGCCACCGAAGGCCCGGCGAGAAGCAGCGATACCGCTAACAAAGCCTGTGTTGGCAACATGGCGACGATATATCGAGATATCTTAATGGATCAGAAGACGGCACCACAACCCCAAGTGGAAGATCTCTTGCTTTAAATATTCGAGGTTGGGCCATAATGCCCCCGGGAATCCCATCCCGCCCTACTCCGTAGAAGCACCCCAGCTGGGCTGGGGACTCCACTCGTGGGGGTAACTGGGGAGTTGGGGAGTCGGGAACTCGCATCGAGGGGTATGTAAGTGGATCCCATACCGTCATTTGTCGGAAGTTGGCATTGCTTGACCGCGGAGGATTGCCGACTTCTCAGAGACAAGCAGCAAAATAAACCGGATTGGGTCGGGATGCCGAGCGATATTCCCGACTCTCAGGAGGATTCAGAGGCATCACTCGGTGTTTTCATGGTGCAGCATGCAAAGAAAAGCATAAATCGACATTGTGCAGCTAAACAGGCACCCGTCTTGGGTTCCATTGCTTCTCTCACAATTGAGGGTGGGTGTTACAATGCAAAAGTCTCGGGGGGTTTGGGATTTTCGGATCAACTTCGGCTGAATCCCCACACGGCCCTCGCCCATCGTCATATCCGGCACTCCGCGACTCCACGGGGTCACCCCAATCAATGCACTCTGCGGAATTTCACCCACACTTTTTCTTCCGGTCCGAGTCAAGCCATGTTCAATGCTCTACCGCGTGTCCATAGCTTTTTTTCTCCAGGAAGTGATCGGCATCTCGGTGAGACTAGCCACACCCCGGCAGCTTTTCCGTTAACTCCAAAGCACAAACACAGTCCCTGAGAGAACGCTAATTCAAACGCTAACTAAACAAGGATTGGTGGTTGAGGGATATTGGCTTGCGAGAATATTCCGTGTTGTGCCCCCCAGCGTTTGGACCTACCATATTAGGTAACTGTAACTCACTAGGCCTCATAAATTCTACCTGGAGGCAATTAACGGAAATCCTTATGGTGTTTTGAACTGTTCAGTGTAGCTATAACGCGATTATAGCTCAAAAGGTCAACGATTATCTATCATGTAGGAGCAGTGCAGTATTAACTAGCTTCTCTATGACTGCAACATCAGAGTGAGAGCAGTCAGTAGTAAAGACAAGATATGTACAATCAATCTCAAACAGTAATATAGCACATTAAGCTAAACAAAAAGATATCATCTTCGGTAGACTCCGTAAAGAAGCTCCTCCGCGGTGGGTTCGCCATGGGAAGCCATAGTTTGCAGGTGGTCTAGGAATTCTTTCGCACAGGCAGCAGCAGCCGACGCAGCACAAGGCTGCCAACGATCATTCTTATGAGTATCCGCATAATCAGATATCCCTCGAATGACTATAAGAGGGAAGAAATTTACTAAGCCCTTTGCTTCCATCTCCAGACCAATTGCCCCATGAGCGACTCGCAGTGCCTCGCGCTTGGGAGCATACTTTATAACTTGATTACCAGACGCGATAGACCCATAATGAACGACATGCATTTTATCTGAACGTTTCTGTCGGCGCACCTCCCGAGCCGGATCACAAGTTGCGCAAGAAGAGTTGCCTTGTTTATGCTGGTAGTCGGCTTGAAAAAGACGATCGAATCCCGATCCAGGAGGACAGTATCCTCTTGTCTGCAGTCTGGGATATTTCTGAAGCATTTGATTGATATTTGCTGTGATGTTGTTGTTGTCTCTCTTGGAATGTTCCGCCCTCATGCTTGCAAGAGCATTTCTCAGTGCTGCAAGTGGAGGTTTTGATACATGGTCACTGAGGATTGACCCATTTGGAAGACGCGTTCCGGTATCATGCACGGCGACTCCACCAGTTAGGGGATCGTCGCTAATTATCACGTCCCCGAGACGGATATCCCGATTATTTGGAAGATCTGGAATTCCCGCTGCGATGCCGACTAGCAATCCCACGCGGATGTTTGGGAAAGTGAAGACCATGCTGCTTCCGACTCTGGCCGCCCCTGCAACGCCTTTCCTGTTCGCGATGACGACTTTGGTTTTGCCGATTAACCCCAAGGTATATGTGTTCTGGTCGGCTAGCAGTGGCGCTTTTCGAGGTAAGCCATGCTCTTCATCAAGCATGCCTCTTGCCGCAGTTAATTCGATATAGGGCACAGACCCATCCAACCGTATATTCCTCATTACCGAACGGGGAGTATGTGGCATGGGACATCTTCGAAATATGAGTTTGTGTTGCATTAATAAATTCAAATGATAGATAAATTAGGAAATAATCTAGGTAGCAGATTAGATGAACTTGGAGTTCAATTTGTCAAGTATCGCGAGTTAGCGCCGAGAGGAAAGTTGCAACAGATTCATGTTTCAGCCCCATCTCTCAGCTCGTCGCATTTTGCGCGCGGTAACTCACATTATGGGTGCTTATTTTATATAATTAGGCTCGCCAATTATTGGACGAGTGCAGAAAACGGTACGATCGCGGCCATGGAGACCTCCACTAGGAGAAGGTGGTTTGGGCCTGGATCATTGGATGCGAGTGCGTGTACTCAACTTCAAGTTCACTCGTAGAGGCTAGTATTCTTTCAGTTTTACATTGGCTTGTGAGAAAGAGAAAGTTCTAGTGATATTTTAAGTATTCGGTCGCTTGATATCGCTAAATGGTGGCTGTTCCAATGTTGAATTATGTACCAGGGGTGATATTTTCCTATATTTACGTTTATTTTCTTAAGCGACATTGCTCATGAACATGAAGAATTTAGAGGAGAGAGTACTTGATCACCAAGCATTGATTTATCAAAAAGGAACGGCCACAATAACCAAACAGACACAGGTATGTATGTACAAAATGACAGGGCATGCAACAGCCATGCTGAACAAAAAGCCGGTAAATGAAGTCCAAGAAGAATAGGAAGAAAAAAAAGAACGCTTCGAGATCACAAGAGATCTTTGACGCTTTCTCCAGCAAGTCCCCCTACCCTAGAGCTAGGGCTAGGGTAGGGTAGGCTGGGAAGTACATTTGCGCCGAGAATAATCCCTAGCATGTGATCGAGATATCTTAGTTGCGGATCAGCATCATCACATGCTAAGAGCCGCCGCCGTAAATGTTATTGCCATCTATTGCCGAGAGTCCAAGCCCCGGTGGGTGTTTTGGAAATGCGAAGCCTGCTCGCTGAGAGAGCCGCCAACTGGAGCTATGATGCTGCCAGGTCTATACAAGTTGAGATGAAAGTGGTAATAGGAGGAGGATAAGAGAGAGAGATTAAGGTGTTGGTAGTGGGCGGATGTTGGAGGAGAGGGATCTTTCTAATTCGTGTCGGCTGGTCATCATATCATGCCGTTTTGATCCTCGGCCATGCGCAGCTTCATTTCGCCTTCGAGCTGGAAGTTGTGTATCAACTTCCGCAGGTACTCGTAGGTAAGCATAGTCGTCATGGCTGCCGGGACGGCCCGGAACAAGTTAGTGCCAATCCCGGAGTAGAACGCGCGCCAACCCTCTTCTCTGAGAATTGTTTGACATGTGCGCAGCATTCCGTCGTAGCGAGGGCGGTTGGGCATACCGTCAGATGATGAGACGCTTGGTGGCCGGCCGCGGTCGTGGGGATGGTGTAATCCTCCGCGGAAGGAGATTTCTTCGGGCGATGGTGCCGGTGCTGTACGCTGTTGTGTTTGCAGGCGGGTTCGCAGAACCTCGTGGGGGTAGGTTACCGTGCTGGCACAGATCTTGCTCAAGAATGTGGCGACGGAAATTCCAATCCAGTGGGACCTTCCAGTGTCAGGATGCTCTCCAATTCCATATCCTGTGAGTGCCATTTTCAGGTACTCGTAAAGAGGGAATTGTATGGCGACATGAGTCAGACCCAGGAGGGCGGGCGTGAGACCGGAGTAGAAAGAGCGAAGACCCTCTATTTTGTACATCTTGCGAGCGGCATCCCATGTGCCTGAGTATTGCCATGGAGCTCGCACTCCCTCGCTATTTTGTTTGAGGCTCTGCGACATAAGCCTAGTTTTGATGACCCAGATGGGGTTCGTCACAACAGTAGAGCATGCACCTGCAGTAATAGATGCATATCCACGGGAAAGCCACCAGCTATCTAAGGTCTTGTTAGCAGGCTGTGATGTGATGCGCAGAGGAGTCAAAATGGGAACCAACCTGTTTGCTCGAAGAAGTACTCGCGGGATCGGTCGTACACAGCCAGGTAGACGGCCCATGTGGGCAGATAACCCAGCAGCATTGGGCCAAGTCCTTGGTATAAGCCGCGTAGACCGTCCTCCCTAAATATCACTTTTCCAGTACCCAGCATCCCCCGGTAAAGGGTCTTGGTCTCGAGTGACTGCCCTCCCCGCCGGGCAAAGCCACCTTGGGCTTGCAGCTTCGTTTTGATCACATCGAGCGGGCAGGTCACGATCCCAGAAGCCACGCCGGCGCTAGCTCCGCAGAAGGGTGCAATCCAGAAGTTGGGAATCTTGGTGGAGAAAATCTCTAAGCGAGTGGTGAAGTCGGAGCTTGACGTCGATGCGACGGGCACGTGGGAGGTGGACGGGGCGACATTTGGTATATTGGAGCTCTGTAGCGGGTCGAAAGAGCTGTTGGCAGCTTCAGTGTTGCCTCGACCGTCGGAGCGCATTGTTGTGGAGTTTGGCAGGCGCTCACGCTTGTCCGTCTTGATCACCGAGGGTTCCCGGACCCAAGCATATCGTTACTCCGAAACCGAAAAGGTGCGACTTGAGATGATCAGAGGATGGATGGAAGCAAGAAGCCGCTTGCTGTCGAGACCGATATGTTGGCAAGACGTGCGAGGAGGAAACGGGGGGGGTCGAGCGAAGAGGGTATTGTCCGATGATTACCGAGCGAGAATGGTGATGCGATGTACCCTATGCAGCACGGACTTTGGGGGGGGTGAGTGGGTGGGGGGAGACCCTAGCAAAGCAAGCTCCCCGCAATAGGGATTTAAAATCACTTCAGGAGATATTCGACCCCATGATCTGAGCAAAAGAAGGTAAAGGAGGTAGTTGAGAGCGGATTCTGGAATTGGGGAAAGGTGGAGGTGGAGGTGGTGCGAGGCATTCGCAGAACTCCCCGCGGGCCTCAGGCAAGTCAGGCAAGTCTCGGGTTATCACGTGATCGGTCATGTGCCTGGGGACTCCGACCTGCCAAGACTATTGCCCAATGCGGACTAGTGCCGCAAGCTCCGTTTTGCACACTCGCAACGTCGGGTCATCTCGTGTTCTATTCAAGCCGGTCTTTTCCCCTTCCTCCAATCCAACTCGATACCCTCCACCATGTCTGCTCCTTCGATTGCCAACTACATTGTCAAGCGCCCCTGGCTCAAGCGCTGGATGACTCCCCTGGCCAACTGGTACACCGATGCCGCCGGCTACAGGAAGCTCGGACTGAAGTAATTATCGTCCCCCTCCGTCAATTCCTGTCCACCGCGGATATTCGACTCGACCAGCTGGGTTTCGATCATGCGTGCGACCATAGAGACAATTCTCATCTTTCATCATGACCAATGTGGTCGCAATTCGCATTCGCATCCGCATGAACCCGACCCAGTCGTTCCGATACCCGCGACAGTGAACATGTCCCCTTCCACAATCAGAGGCTAACCGCGATCCATCTAGGTTCGACGACCTGATCCCCGAGGAGAGTGAGAACGTCCAGAAGGCCATCAAGCGCCTTCCGGCCAAGGAGGCCTACGACCGTGTCTTCCGTATCCGCCGCGCTTTCCAGGTTCGCCCCGAAACCCCCTTCCCCGAGAAATCCCCCTCCGGTCGAGGAATTGTCTAACATAACACCCTCAATTGCAGTGCTCTATCTCCCACACTCTCCTTCCCGCCAACGAGCAGATCAAGCCCGAGGAGGTGAGTTGATCGCGATTTCACTTCCACCCAAAATTCGCTCTCCCCGCATATCCCCGTATTGGCCAATCCTGTTGCGAGGATTTGTCACTGATGACCCCCAACCTCAACACCCACCCACATCCCTCCATCAACTTAATACTAATACATTCTCTCAATTAGGACGTCGAGTACCTCAGCCCTATCATCCGTGCGGTCGAGCAGGAGGCCAAGGAGCGCGCCGAGCTGGAGACCCTCACCCTCCGCAAGTAGACTTCCCTGGGTGGATCTTCTTCCGCTGCGATTGATATGAAAAGCCGATAGGATGCGAGCGCGATGGGGTTGTTGCATGACATAGATGGATTTATTTTTTAGGCGAGGATATGGACCAGCTGTCTTAATCCACTTGTGTACTGATATTGTACAAATCGATTTTCTTCGTTCTGTTTACACACCATGTCTACCCGTCCATGTTGGATGGTATTTCCCTAATATTAAAATAATGAGTCTTCGGACGAGCGCAACTGTCATCGGCTGACACAGCCACCGGCGTCTGGAAGACTGCCTCGGTTTGATATCAGCCCATTAACCCCCTCCAAAAAAGGTCAACAGGTCTATATTCACCCATCCAGAAATACACCCTCCATTCACAGTTCAATGTTCGTTGGAGTCATTACTCTCTTTCTAGGTCGGTATAAAATCACAACTACAATCCGAGCATCCAACACGCACGATATCTCAAGCCTCCCGGGCTTCGACGATTCAACCAGTAAGAACAGCAACATCAACATTTTCAATCCGCCACATATACCACATGAAAAGACTCCTATCGACAGTATGCGGTCAGCAAACACAACCCAAAAATCAAGCTCATCCCGGACGGTGTCAGTCCTACCTATACGGCGCAAACTTGGCAGCCAATTCTAGCATATCCTTCTCCGACATATACTTAAACTTACCACCACCCTTACCCTTCAACTTACCAACATCTCTCCCAACAAAAGCAGCACATCCTCGTCTAAACCGCATCGCACCGCATCAGCAAACACAATCATCCACCCACAATCATCAGGGTCAAACTCACTGAACTCCCAAATCCCCCGTCGAAAAAACATCAATCCTCTTCAACGCAAAACAAGCAAACATCTCAACAGACCACCTCCCAACCCCCGAACAGCCGTCAACCTCTCAACAAGCTCCTCATCCGACGCCGTCGCCAAAATCCGCGCACTAAGCTCCCCGCTCGCAAACTTCTCCGCCAATCCTTGTATATACTCCGCCTTACGTTGACTAAGCCCCGCTGTCCGTAACGTGGGGAGATCACACCGTGCGACAATTTCGGGTGTCGGAAATCGCGAATGTGCAAGTCCACCTTCTGCTACGCCTGCATCCGCACCAGCTCCTGCGCTCGCAGCAGCGGCGGTTCCTGGCAGGTTAAACAATGCCACGAATTTATTCCGAATGGACTTTGCCGCTGCGCCGGAGACCTGTTGACCGATGATGCTGCTGGTAAGACTATTGAAGGGATCTATTTGTTCTGCCAGGCCGGTCGGGGAGAAGAGCGGGCAGGGATGTGCTTCGATGACGGGTTTTAGGCGCGGGTCTGTTGCGATGAGGTGGGCGAGGCCTTGGTCTCAGGAGCGTTCCTGTTGTTGCGGTTGGGCGGGGCAGGCCGGTTTTCGAGGGCGAGGCTTCGGCGAGGGTTGTTGGGTAGGCGTTTATTGAGGAGCCGTGGGGGGGTTAAAAGTGTTGCGTTTGTTCGGTGCGGGTCGACGGGGCGGTTCAATGGGGGTGTGGAGGGTCTGGCGGTGGTGGTGGGTGCTGGGTCCCAGTATGATGAGTTTGTTGCGGGAGGTGGAGGTGTTGTTTGTTTGCTCTTTGGTGTCTTTGTAGTTGCCATTTTGGTTGTAGGTTTGCGTGGCTTGGTGATGCTGTTGTTGTGTTGTACTCTTGTCACTTTGAGTGCTGGTGCTGGTGCTGGTGCTGAGCTTGACATGGGAGCTGTAAGTGATGGGATGGCGCCCAGTCGGGCTGATCGTCGGAGCGACATGCTGATTTCAAGTCCCTGCGGGTTTTCCTAGTATACTGGGGTAATATAGCTGATGCGGAGGAGTCGAGCGGAAGAGTCGAAGTGAGAGTGGAGGTTGAGGGGGGAGGTTGAGTCTCCGAGTCCCCGGATTCCGGCTGACGCATGCCAAGCTTCGTATCGCGGTGAACCCCAGCGCTGGTACTCGCACGGTTCAAATCATACTGTAATATGGATGGGGGTTTTTATATCTGAGATATTCTGCTTAATTGAAAATGTGTAGCTAGCTAAGTTTATACTAGGTAGGTAGTAGTAGTATTGTAGTACTTTATTTTTCAATTTTGGAATACCCTGTGTTTCGCGGCAGAAGACCGGCCGAGGAATATACTATGTAATCACTGCTGGACCAGACTTAATGTTACTACAATAACAACTTGAAATCAAACTTGAAATCTTTTAGCCAGGTTATTACCGTGACCCTAGCAATTACTTACCTGCCAATGGTTAGAAATTGATGATTTATTTTAAGTGAAGCCCTATATTGTTGTCCAATCTGCCCAAGCAAAGTGCTACTATTGCTAGTGTGTAGTGACTAACGTGTGATTACTAGGTACTTCCAAGGCTTACTACCAGATCATGAGAAATAATAGTAATATGAATGAATTTTAGTTGAAGAATTCAATTTGATCAGCCGGAAGTTCCAATTCAATCAGCTCAACCGGCTATTTATAACCTAAAATGCCTTCTATATTTCCTTTCTACCCCCATTTCCACTCGAAGGGACCCACGACAACTGGTTTGTTCACTGCAAACTATATCCGACCAATGAAACACTCCAACAATATAAGCCAAGCGTGAGCCAAGCCAAGCCAGTACAATTTCTACACTCTAGCTTACCTTAGACCGGAAGTCTTACCGGCCAGACCATCATGCCGCTCTATGTGTTCGTTCGCAACAAGCGAGAAAAGAAAATCAATTGAAAGGGTTCGGCTGTATCAATAACCCATGGATAGACCAATACAGTTGTATGCGTAATGCCGTTCAATTGGGCCGAATCTACTCCGCCAGCGCTCAGTTCCAAGGTTCAACGTCGTAAACGGTCGCGATTCAAGGAGATCCACGGATCACCCGAGCATGGCGTTCTATGTATTTCAAGTTTCTAACAGGCACAATTCAATTCGCCCTTCCAAGGTTTCACTCACTGCGGGTTCTATTTCAAGATTCACCACACGATAAGTCAAGATTGGGGCACAACACCGACCTGGGCATATGGGAAGACCAATTGGCCACGACACTTCAACGACTAGCGCGAATTTCGATACGCCAATGTTGGCCCCCGACCCAGGGGGCTTGCGTCAGCCCGTCTAGACCAGCCGGCTAGCTTGCTCAAGGTTCTCCAGGGTAAGTGAGCAGGAGCAAAATAAAGAAAAAAGAATAAACAAATAAATTGTAGACGGTGGGGTCCGACACTGATCGACCACGTCGTGCAATTTGGTCTGACCAGTCAAACCAGCCATTCCCGCCACTATCCTGTCGAGATCAAGATTAACCAGTCGGTCCTTGGACATGCGCCTTTTAGTTCGAAACTATGTCCAGTATGTATCTCGGGTATCCGTACGGAGTGTCCCTCCCGTACGGACATGTAGATTCAGCAGACATCTTTGAAAGAGCCAGAAGCTCAAATTGAAAAAAACCCCCGACGACGCCAAAAGGCAAAAGAAAAGCTTCGCGTCGACTATCTAGCCCGAAACGGCGCATCTTCCAACCCGCGCCCCTCCCTTCCCCCATACTCCCCGGAGTCTATGACAGTTAGTGGTGAACTGGACTTGGGTATGTATGCATGGACTTCATGGGAGCAACTCCGTTCTCCATACGATATGTAGAAAGGTCTTGTGGTCTGGAGAATGTTGCCAGCCTCCCCCTATTTACGTTCGCGATGGGTAGACTCCTTGATTCGCCCCATACCCACGTTCCCATGCATTCCAGAAGAGCCGAGAAACGCCCTCCAGGAATGTGAGCGATATTTATGTTTGTATGTATGTACTGGAAAATCGAGTTACAGTCAAACCTTGGGGCTCAGGATAAGTATGAAGGACAATACGGAAAATGCCTCTTCATTATGTATCGAGTATGTAGATATCAAGTGCTTTGTTACTTGTAGTGAATTACCATGTCATATGCAAAAGTTTTATCTGGCCGCGCGGTTCACTCCATGGTTACCACAGCCACAGCCACAAAACAAGGAAAATACTACTGGTATACACTAGGTAAAAATCCAAGACAATTATACCGAGTATGTGCATAAGTACGGCGTATTGTAGATACTAAAATTTGCGATCGGGGCCAAATTCTTGCCCGACAATGCCAAAATCAAGATCAAGTGCGAGCAGTATGTACTTCGTGGCTCCGACTGGCAAATTTTCATCTTCTCTGCAGGTTATTCTGTATCTAAGCGATGGGTCGATGGGTCGATGGGTCGGGTCGGTGGAGCCGAGTGGAGTGAGTAACCCCGAGGCCCAAGCAAGTTTGGTCTCCGATCTGAAACAGCCGTAATACCACTTCCAAACAGTAAAATTGAAATTGCGCGATGTGACCATGGGCAGGCAGTGCAATTACTAGTAGCTGGTGTTTAGTCTGCGGTGGGATGATGCAGAGCAGATCAGAGCAGGAAAGAACAGGGCAAAGAAAACCAGAGGAGCAGCAAGGCAAAGCAAATCCTAGCAAGGCAATCTCGACTACTCGTAGAGTCGATCATCCAACAAGCCGACCGGGAAACCTTCCTTCAGATCCTTCAGATGGGTCGAGCTGGAGCGCAGAACTGCATACGGAGGGTGGCACGTCGATCCGTAGAGCTCTCGTCGATCGGCCGGTCTCCTTTCAAGTGACAGCCGAGCTCTGCGGATCAATCGAATGGAATGATCGAGTACAGATACCTACTCGTACTTCAAGAGATTCTCCGTACTCTGTACTCCGTACGGAGTATATTCGTAGGTACTCAGTACTCCTCCCGTACCGCAGTTGATCCGAGTATAAATAGTCGCAAGGACTGCCCAGTAAGCTTGCTGTGCCTGGCCGATCGAAATTTGAATATTCACGCCATATATTAAACCACCCCTGCCAGGCCCGCAGAGCTTGCCCAGGTGGTCAAAGGCTCGGCCAGGGGCAGCGATCGCATTTTGCCACTGGCGGGCTATTTTTTGTGCCGGCGATGCCCCCGAGCAGTGTATCATTATTATTAGCTACTTAGCTTCGTGCTCCTAGCTCCGTGTTCCGTACTTCTGGGCGTATGTAGTACATACAGTATGTACAGTATGCAGTAAATTACTCCGTACTGGTAGTTTGCATGTGTTGCTCAGGGGATGGATGGGAATTGTTTCCGGGGCCAGGGCCAGGATGCGCGAGGGGCGAGGGGCGAGGGCGATCGTGTTCAATATCAGGCACTGGCAAGATATCCCGTACATACAGATAGACAAGACAGCTGCGTATTGTCTGTACTCTGTATATGCTATCTTGGGGCTGTATGATCGCGGAAGCAGGATTGGATTGGACTAATCCAGGGCGAGGCTAGACCTGCGTGCCAATCAGAGACGCGCATGCCGGGGGACGATAGCGGCAAAGGGGCGGCGGGTCCGGTAAAGGCTTGAATTCCTGCAATTTAGTCGGGACATCGATGGGCCAGTGTACTCCGTAGAGGGTCAGGAGTATAGTGCCTTTGTTGCTCCATCCTTAGGTCATGCTTGGTACTCCGTAGAGCTTAGTTAAAGGGGCAGTGGCTGACAGGGTGGTTCCTGATCGCTGCAGAAGAAAAAGTTTGTCTGGTGGAATTGATGTTGATCAGGGGTACTAGTAGGATTACTAGTATGAGCAGAGTATGAGTACAGAGTACGGAGTAGGGAGTACCTATTGATGAGATTAAGGACATGGATGACGACAGCGTATATGTCCATACGAAATGACAGTGTGTACATATAGAGTATGGCAGTGTGCATAGTATTTCTACTATGATACTCTCCCATTGGATGCAGTATGTACAGGATTAATTGCATGTAGCAAGTAGCAGGAAATAGCAATCGACAACATCATGTCCATATCCATAAGCATATCCATATCCATCACAGATAATCATATGGAGTCTCGCTAGTGGGTGGGTTGCACAACTCTATGCACGTCCGCAGGAGTATGCAGAGTAGAGTACAGTGTACAGTGTATGGAGTACAGAGTATCAACTCTGTACACTCCAGTGGCAAATACCATCTCAATGCATACTGATTATCACTCAGAATATACTAATTCTACTATGTAATATGTAATATGTAATATGTAAATGTAAATTCATGCATGTTTACAGTTAACTGGTATAGGCAATTTGGGTATTTTCTGGATGAAAACGGAAAAGTGAAAATTGACCGGATGCGGTATTGTGTTGGTATGCCCCTTGTAATTTGTGTATTTAACGGGCCTTTTCCCGGTGGACCCGTGGTACTTTCCCTTTCCCACTAGTAAACACTCTCTGATACGCAGAGACACAACAAACCAAGACTCTCCCTGGCCCAACCCAGTCCCAACTCCACTCCACGCCTCCTTTCCACTTCTTCTTCTCTTATTCTTTCCTCCTCCTTCATCCCCGTCCATTCGTTCTTTCCTCCGGGTCATCTAACACTTCTTTCCATTCACTCGTTCTTACTTCTTTATTATCGTGAGTTACCTCAACTACCTTTTCCCCTGACCTCCTCTCTCTCCCTCTCTCTCTCTCTTTCTCTCTCTCTCGCTGCACCAGATTCTTCCATTCTCCCATTCTCTCATCCTCATTATCCCCAATTATTCCATCCACTCAATTCTAACCGCCTTCCAGAGTACATCACAATGGTTTTCGCCAAATATCTGCTGCCTGTTCTGGCAGCCACCCAGGTTGCTTTCGCTGCTAAGTGTGAGTATCCCATGATATATCTTGCTCCTTATTCCCCATTGCGACCGACTGGGACTGACTCAATCCATTCTCACAGGCGGTGACACCAAGATCTCCT